ATTGCTTTCTGTTTTAATATCTCAGTTTGGGCTAGGGGTTCCTGGACAAATGGGGTTGGTTGTAGAGTACTAGTCCATTGTCCCTACAGCTCAAGAGATGCTTCTACCTGCCAGCTCAGGATAGTCAGAGAAAGCATCCTATAGTCCCCTTGACACTAGTGGGCTTTTCTTCTTCTTTTTTTGATCTACCTATCTTCTGCTGAGGGTGTAGCCCTTTTGGGGATCATGATTTTATGGAATAGGAGGGTGTCTCTTCTCACCTCCTACCTTGAGCAGACCCAAACTAATTCCCTTTGAGGGATGAAAACTCAGATGTCACAGACAGATGTTCACACTTCATTTGGTCTGAATATTGCTGGCCTTGGAATTTTTAAAATTTGCTTCTACGAACTATTTATTAGTTTCAATGTGCTAAGCCTGCTGGGAGGAAATGCTGGTTGTGAGCATCAGGGAAGCATTCTGGACGGTTATTAGCACAAAGTTAACATTTGATTTTATAGTATCTTCTGCTAACAATGTTTTAAAAACTGACTCTTTACGGTGTCCTGTGTACTAGGTACTGTGCCTGTGCTGACTTCCTAGCTTTACTGGAAGTTCCTTGACAGTGGACCGAATCCCTACCCCGTACTCTCTCCATCTCCCTCTGCAGTGCTGAGCCCTCAAAAACAAAACAGCAGCAAAAAACACACTTGCACTAGTTGCTGATTGGTTAATCCCCACGGAAAGGTTACCAACAAACCACAGCAATGACACAGAGGGAATGCCTATTTCCACATCCAGGGAGGCCCACCTGCCCAATACCATGCTGCTGACTTAGAGGACGGCTTTGCTAATGATATCCTTGGCTCCTTCTCTGCCTCAGGCCGCAGATGTTCTCTGCCTTCTGTGATTCTGCTCCCTTCCCTTGGTGGTGTCATGAAGTGCACTGGTGTTTCTCGCTGGCTCCTGGGCTTCTCCCCTGACCTTGCACATACAGTTGCCTGCTGGACATCCCCACCTGCCCAGTCAGGGCATCACACCCCCTTATCCATCCAGTCTTCCTTGAATTTTCCCCACCTACGTGAGGGCAGCTCTTCCCAGTCGCTCAGGCCAAGAACCTGTGCCTTTCTTAACTTCTTTCACACCCCTCATCTGGTTAATAAGGAATTTCTTGGTGCTACTTTCCGAATATATACCAAATCTGGCCATGTATTTCATCCATTATGCCCAACATATACAAGCCATTGTCATCTTTAGACTGAACTATAGTAGGCCTCCCCTGCCCTCCCCTCCCCTGCCACTCTCCACTTAGTGTCAGTGTTCCACGAAAACAACACGTCTGATCTTGCCTTCTGCTGCTGACAGCCCCCACCCAGCTCCCACCATTCTCAATAGCACCCATGGCGCGGCTGCAGGCTGTGTTGACCTGACCCCATTCCCTGGGTAAGGCTGGGTTTGCCGCTGCCTCTTGCCCTGTGTGGGACGGTCTTGTCCCCAGATACCTGTAGCTGATCCTGTGCCCTGTGCAGGATTCTGCTCACCTGCGACTTTGCTCCAGAGGTTCAGACTGACATCTCTACAGATTGCTCCACTCCCCTTAAACCTTTTAAAAGAAACAGTGGCAGTTATCACTTAGTAAACACAATGGATGCAGAAGTGACAAGTCCTTCCCGGAGGGTGGAGACCCCCTGAGAGTAGGGATTCCGTTCCGCCCAGTCCTCCGTGTCCACCGTGGGCTCACAGGCCCCACACTGGTTCTTTTGCGTCTATGCATCTATGTAGAGATGGAGCCATAAGTAATGCACGCTTTAAAGGAAGGGGGTTTTATATTTTGGGGGGAGATTAAGTTGATTGGCAAGGAATCGGGTGGAGATAGTTTATAAAAGTGAGGGACATGAGGAACAGACACGTGGGAATGAGGGAGTGAAAGTCCGGAGCCGTCTGGGAGCTTCACTGCGCTGTAGGACCTCGTGCTGGGGGGGGCATCCGTTTACGATGGTGGTGGGCATCCTTTGAGGTTTTCCTTCTGTGATTTGGGGGAGGTGGGCGGTACTGGTGACATCTGCTTCCAGAGCAGCCGTCCTTCCTGCTCCCTTTCTGGTCTTCGGTTGTTTCCGCTCGAGTTCTTGCGGGGCGCGCTCCCTCTGCTTTCTGGAGGTGATTAATTTCCCAACTCCTCGGCACCACCTTCCCCACCCGAAAAAAGGATGCAGAACCACGCCTGGAGTTGGGTGGGCCTCCCGGGTGCTGGGCGGCCCGGGGCGGCGGGGACCCCGGCGGCGGGGCGGGCGGGGCGCTGACGTGTCCAGGCGGGATTGGGCCGCCGCCCTATATAGCAGCCGGGGCCCGGGCGCCGCGCCTCGGAGCGTCCCGGCTTCTCCCGCGCGGCGGGCGAGCAAGCGAGCGGCAGGACCGGCGGGCGGGGGCCCACGAGTGAGCGCGCGGCACGGGGCGGGGGAGGACCGGGCCGGCGGGGTGGGCGGGCTCAGGGGGCCGCCGACGTGGAGGCCGCGGAGGGGGAGGGGCCCGGGTGCCGCGGCCCCCACCCGAGCCCCAGGCTGAGGCCCCCGCCGCGGGTGTCCTGCTTACCGCGCGTGGCGGTTCCGGGCCGGGCCCGGGGCCGGCTCTGGGTCTCCTCTGCGCGTGGCCGTGGCGCGGAGGAGCGCGCACAAACTTTCCCAAGTGCCGTGGTGCCGCTGGGCCGTTCTTGGCCGCAAGTTGGGCTCCCCCGCCTCCTCCCTGGGCTTCGGTGGGGCGCCCCCGGGGCCGGGGCCGCACAGCGGGGGAGGGGCGGCCGACCTGCGCCCAGGTCGCTGACGTTGGCGGGGCCGGCCCTCCCCTCCCCCCTCCCCGCGGGGGCGCCCCCTCCCCCAGCTCGGGCTGCTCTGGCCGGCGGAGGCTCCGTGTGCAGCCGGGGTGGCGGGCCCTGGGAGGCCAGCGGGGTCCTTCCCCCCAGGTGGCGGCGGGGCGGGGGTCTGGGCGCAGGCCGGGCGGCGGGGTCCCCGCAGCACCTTCACCTGCCGCGCGGGGCCCGCGCCCGTCTACGTGTTCGGGGGTGGAGAAAGCTGCTCTCCTTGGGCCTGGAGTGCAACTTGGACATGCCCCAGGGTCGTGGATGAAAAATACATTACGGAAAAATACCGAATTTGGATGAAAGGCTGGGAGGCCGAGGGGGTTGCTGTCCCTTTAAGCCTGTCCCCGCCCGCGGGCCCTCGTGGCCTGTGGGAGGGCCGTGCTGAGGTGGCATCTGCGAAAGTTCCTCCATGCAGGATGGGTGCCGACGTCCAGAACTTGGTGAGAAGTGCGGAGCCTGCCTTCTGTTCGCCAGTCGCCTGTGGCCTCTCCTAGATTTCGATCTTGTGATCTTTGCGTGGATCAGGATTTTATTTTCCCATTCTGAACTTTGGTTTGTGGTCTTGAGCAATTTTACTTTTGGAAGAGAAGTCTGGATTTTAGCCGGAGGTTTTTTGATGCCCTCCATACCCGGTCCTGTCTGGTGCTTTAAAGCATTTGCAGGTCTCATTAACTGAGGCTGAAATGAAATTCTTCCTGGAGTATTACTGATAATTATTTTTGAAGACTGTTGCCCATTGACTATGTAGTTGGCAAAACTTATCACAAGGGAATCAACTAAATTACTTCCTCGTTTAAAAGCAAAAAAGTAGAACCCTTCATGTGAAGCCTTTTCTGTTGCTGTCAGAAACCTGTTAAACTTGTGCTAAACTTGTAAGCACCAGGTTTCCCACGTAACACACAGCTCTGTCATGACTCCACGTTTTGCTCTACACGTATTAGGGCGGAAAGGGGTCTTGCGTCCTGCTCTTCTTCATTTAGTTCTAGTTCTGTTTGCTGAAAGTTAAATTCTGAGATGTGACCTTTTTTGCTGTGAACCTTTACACTCTGGGAAACAAAATTAAGTCCAGGTTCAGGATAGTTTGAAGTTTGCATTTGGTGGACCTGGACAGTGATTGATCCGAGCTTCCTATGGGAAAAGTAGTGGAGAGAGGCAGAATCACAAAGGGACTGGGGCCATGTGGGAGGGACTGAAGGAGACAGGAGTCAGGGCTCACCTACCAGAAGGAGCCTTGGAGGAGAGTGGACTTGTTCTCCATGGCCAGAAAGGGGAAAGAAGTTGTAGATTTTGTCATAACGAGGTGGAACGTTTACAGCCATGCAGGGGTGACCCGAGCCCTGAGAAGGCCACGAATTTCCTGTCTCTGGTGGTATTAAGAAATTGGATTAGAGTAATACCTGAGGTTCCTTTCAATCCTGATTTGAGCAGTATTGTTAGATCCAATGAGAATCTGAGATACCAGATATTTAGCCTCTGTTCTTTGGTAACTTGGCCTGCCCAAGGTACCCTGGGAACTTCAGATAGCAAGTGGAGTTGCTGGGTGGAGAGCACACTCAGCCTGCGGCTGTCTTGGGGTTGCTGAAAGATCCACATGGAACAGGATTAAACGCTCATGGGTGTTGTCTGTGAAGGCAGAGCCGCTAGCAGGACATAGCAGTGCGGGGTGGACATGGAGCTGTAGGGGCAGCTTCTTAGGTACTGCTTTGTTGAACCGGAGGCAGGTCGACCCTTGGGCTGCATCTCACTGGATTGGGAGCACAGAAGGAGAATGAGACAGACTTTTAAGAAAATCTCACCCAGAATTTCAGGTGGGGACAGGGTCTGCATTTACATGTGAGTCATCAAATGCTTGCTTAGAACGCATTTTTCAAAAACAAGTTTTTGAGTTGTTTAGATGATACCAGAACCCTAAATGTTAAATGTGTCTCTAGTTGTGAACCATTCGTTAGCAGCTCTGACAAACTGCCATTTGGAATCTGGAGGCTAGGTACCTGGTATCGCCCGTCAAACCAGTCTGGAGTTTTCTGGAGGTCTGCCTTCTGCCTTACCTGGCTGCCTGAGGGTCTCTGCTCGCCTGAGGAACATGAGAGGCTTTGCTCCAGGGTCTCCCTCAGACACAGGAGTAGGTTCCCTTATGTTGAGACTCCTTTCAGTATAGGGTCTGGCTGGACTTGGCTTCTGAAGGGTGTGTGAGTGGTCTCAGAAGAGACTGACACTAGGTACACAGTGGGGATTGGCTCATCACAGCTCTGTGCTGGAGAGTCGGTGTGAGCTGACATGGACGGAACTGCATTTTGCAGACTTGTAATGTGGCTGTCACTGGGCACTGGAGACTTGCCCAGAACCTGGCTTGATAAGGGGGTGGGTGTCTGGATTTAAGAAGTGACATTGGAGCCCGGGACAACCTTGAGTGAGAGACCATGCCAGGTGGATAGTCAGCAAGCAAGAGTGGGAGGGCGGAGGGTGGATGCAGGAGACCAGAGGCAAGTGTCATTGGATACCTGTTGGGGCACATTAGCCTAGAGTGCCCTGCCCCATTTTGCTCCCAGACTGGCCAGACACTTGGAATCTCAAGGAGCGCTTGCCAAGTTGTGAATGTGCTACTGTGACACTTTGGAGACATTTTCTTACTTTAATCTTTAAAACTTGCAAACTAGAATTTTTTGGTGATGCTTTCAAATGGAATACTCTTGATCAGTTTGTCCTACCTTTCCCCTTCAGTCTTGGGGTACATCTGTGTGTCTGGTGCATCTGGGGCCCCATAGTGTCTCTGGTTTGTGGCAGGTTCCCTGTGTGACTCAAGCCCTGTATTTAGAGTTTTTAAAAAACTCATGACCAAGATTAGAATTCGGAAATACCACCAGTCCACATCCTCTGCTGGAAGGGCGAGACCCTTTTAATCCAGTCTACTGGATGCACCCCCTTTGCCATGAACCGCCTTCTCCGCTCTGGACCCATGTGTCTCATGGGCAGGATTGTTTTCAGGGTGTTAGTAGTATTCACCAGTTGAGTGGGGCGTTCCTGTTACTGTCATTGCTTTTCCCATTTTAGACACATGCCTCACTCCTGTCAGCAGTTCCACCTTTTCGTGGTTGAGGAGCACATGTGGTCGCCAGCCTCCCCTCTCCAGAGTCCCCTAAGGCGAGGTGACTCACCCTCCTACTTCACAGAGTTCTTGGTCCTCCCCAGACAGCCTTTGAAGGTTCCTTTCAATCTTGCGATTTTATGACCTGGTTTCTAAATCCCCAGTGGATTAGAAAGGACTGAAGGACTTTTACAGGATAACAGCAAGAAGAACAAAGTAACTGCAAAATATACAGAGAATTCTTGAAGACAGTAGCTCTTGGTCACCATAAGCGCTGCAGAGCCCCTGAGGTCCGCATTGTGTTGTAGGTCAGAGCCCAGCACAACAACCCTTGTGGTTCAGCCGTCTAGGGGTCGTGTTGGGTACAGGAAAGGTGATGCAACCATGCAGGAGAACACCAATGGTTTTGTGAGGATTTTACTTCAAAATGGTTAAGTTTAGAAGTTTGGCACTTAAAGGATCACTCCCTCAGGTCCCTGGAATAGTTGTCCTCTGCAAGGTGGAGCTGGTTCAGGTTTTATTGGAATATGTTTTGTTTCAAGCTAATGGTTTTTTTTTCTTCTGAGAAACTTGCCTGAATATTGGTGTAACCAAAACATAAGTAATATCTTGACCTTTTCTGATTGGGAGGTAAAAAGATCTGGGTTGTAAAATGTAGATAAGTAACTTTTCTCTGGTTTCCTCTCTCTTCTCTCCCACTTCCTATCCCATACCAGCAAAAGCTGGCAGGCTGACAGAGGCGGCCTCAGGACGGACTTTCTGGCTACCGACCGTTTTGCTGGTAAGTTTGACCCTATCTGAAGACTTCCTGTCCCTGGGCTGTGGGTGGGACCTGGGAGCACAGGGATGCGTATTTTCTTAGTCCTGTGTGTACCTTCTTTCTTTATATTGCACCTTCAAGTTTCTCATGGTTCGTCAGAGATGTCTCCATAGCTTCACCTCCCAGCAGGAACCATCTATAGACATGTGCCCCTTAGATGTGTCATCTGGCTTCCGTCTGTTTTTAATCTTTTATTTCTTAAATGTGAATTATGTTTATTCAGTATTATCTGAATTGGGGTCTTGCTTCTCTTCAGGATTGCAGGCCTTTTCTTGAACTTGGGGAGAGGTCTTAATTATGTTATAAAAATTATGCAAAATTCACTCCTTATTACTTGACCTTGTTGTGCCAGTAAGTGATGCGTAGTTGTGTAAAGAAAATGGGTTCTTACTCACTGTAGTAGTTGGGAGCTCACCTGACATTGGGGAGAGGGACGGAGAGGAAGCTAACACTCCTACCTCAGAATGCTGAATGTATCCCAGTTTTCAAATAAGGGAGCTGTGGCTTTCAGAGCCCGTATCCTGCTGAGCACTGTGGCTGTGTTAATCTGAGAAACTGTGTGCCCTTGGGCCAGGTTCCCTCTGCTGCGTGAGTGCTGTGCGAGTGCTGCCCCACACCTGGGAAACAGAATGGAGGAGAATAACCAGTCAGTGTGGATCAAGGGCATTTAGCCCAGTTTGTGGGTCTGTTACTGTTGCTAGAAAGCACTGAAGCTGCTTTTTCCTGTCACGCAGCTACCACTGACAACCACCTGGTTAAGTCGAGATTTGGGGGTGGTTTAGTTTGGGGCCTGGATGCACCTCACAGAGAGAGACTGGCTGACTTCTTGTAGCAACTGTCATGATGCGTTTTGTAAGCATGAAGAGATGCAGCGAGCAAACCGACAGAGTAACCAGGGTCGCTGTTAGGAGAGTGATTCTGCCGTTCACCTGTGCCTGGAGCCTGGGCCAGGCAGGTGGCAGGTTCCATGGTCCCCCCACCCCTGCGGTTAGGGGTGGTGCAGACTGTGTCTCTGTGGCTCCTGGGGTGGAGAAATGGGTGCAGACTGCCCTTAAGTGGAGAATGAGCTCCTCCATTACAGGCGACTTTTGAGGGAACAGTTAACCAGCTGTATTTCTTCAACATTCTTAAAACATGAGTTTTTTTTTTTTTTTTTTTTTTTAGTTTATTAACTATCATTAGTTAATTTTATGTGTGACCCAAGATAATTCTTGCATTGTGGCCCAGGGAAGACAAAAGATTGGCCACCTCTGTTCTAGGACCTCCTTTACTTGGATTTTCCCCCCTTTTTATCACTTGGTGAGAGTTTGGATATCAGCTTACATCAGAGGTTGTGAGGAAAATAAAAAGGTATAGTTTGCTGGTAAAAAAGAGAATAAAACGTTTGCTAAAACTCTTAAGTTAACAATCTCATAGATAATTGAGGGTTGTACTTTGACTTCTGATTTATTCTTCTTTGCTTTAGTGGTTTTCCCGGATTGTGTGTAGGTGTGAGACCAACCATGAGTTCCGTTGCAGTTTTGACCCAAGAGAGTTTTGCTGAACACCGAAGTGGGCTGGTTCCGCAACAAATCAAAGGTGACAGCCCTTTTATGTGCTCTTCCTGGCAATGTCTAAGGCATTGCTCCCTCTGAAGCCTTCACCAAATCCCATGCCCTTTCTAGAAGTACCTTTTCGCCCTGTGATTGTAGGGCAGGGAGGACCACCATCTGGTGCACTGTTTTTGCACTGCCGTGTGTGCAGGAGCAGCTGGCCAGGCATGAGGAAATGAATCAGACACAGTGAGATTTAGAATGTGGACAGCTTTCTGGAAAACCAGCAAATTTGACCGTTGGTAATTAATGCGGTTCTTTTCACAACTGCTTTTCCTAATTGCAGTGAACTAAAATCTGGGCTGTGAAGCATCCCAGAGCAGTGGTTAAGCCTTGAGAATGAAGGCTGGACCCTGGCCTCGGAGTTCTCGAACGCCACTGGCTGGGATTAAGAGCAGCACTGTACAGTAGAATAGACTACAAGCCATGTGTACAATTTTTAGGATTCTCTAGTACTTATTAAAAGGGAACAGGTGGAATTAATTTTGATATTTTACCCCAATATGTCTAATACATTGTCATTTCAGCATATCTAATGTAAAAAAAAAAAAAAGGAAAATCCATTGATATTTGAGATTATTTCTCTTCAAAGTCTGATGTGTATTTACAACGGCGGGACATTTCCTTCCATTTGAATGCCAAATTTTCATCCAAAATCCTTGATATGTGTTTAGATGTTATAAAATCATCGTTTGAAAGAGCAGATTGTTCTGCTTCATTTGAAAGAGCAGGTTGTTCCAAACACACTTAAAAGTTTTCCAGTAACTAAATTGAGTATTAGTTATTAAAATTAATTAAAATATAAAATTCACTTTTCCTTAATCACACTAGCCACATTTCACAAGCTCATTTCTAGTGGCTGCTGTGTTGGGTGTTGGAACCCCAGAGCTGCTTTGTTCTGGGGGCTTGGGATCTTCCTACTGGAGCCGGCTTCCCTGTGAAGTCTGTGTTTCCCTTTCTAGAGAGGGAAGACAGCACTGAGAGAATGCACCCACCTGTGGTGTCAGCACTGTCGGGTAGGAGCGTACAGCTTGGAAGTTGATGGGCCTGGACTCGGGCATGAGCCCGTCTGATTCCAGAGGTCATCCCCCTGTCCTCTGTCACATCCATTCATGGTGTATTTCACTGGGCCTTGGTATTGCCAAGACACTGTGCTCAGCCCTGGGGATTTGGGGTTATCCAAAACAGTCACACCCTTGATTTCATGGAGATAGTGGCCAATGGCACAAAAACATGAACAAATAGGACACTGTGGAAGATGGAAGTGATAATCAGGGAACCTGATTTCCACAAGCCTTGCTGTCCTCTGCCTTGGGCAGGGCAGGGGGAGATCAGTGGCGACAATTCCCACAGCAGCCTTTTTTCTTTTCTTTTTTTTTCTTTGAGACAGAGTTTTGCTCTTATTGCCCAGGCTGGAGTGCAATGGTGCAATCTGGGCTCACTGCAACCTCTGCCTCCCTGGTTCAAGCGATTCTGCTGCCTCAGCCTCCTGAGTAGCTGGGATTACAGGCACGTGCCACCACGCCCGGCTAATTTGTATTATTAGTAGAGACAGGGTTTCTCCATGTTGGTCAGGCTGATCTCGAACTCCTGACCTCAGGTGATCTGCCCGCCTCAGCCTCCCAAAGTGCTGGGATTACAGGTGTGAGCCACCGTGCCCGGCCTCCCCGGCAATCATTTTTAACCTTGTATGTTACAGTGGAAAATCAGAGTTTGCTTCAAAGGCAATTCTCACAGGTGGTGCTGGGTAGGAGGACCATTGTTTTGCAAATGTAAGGGTCTGCTTTGTGTCTGGCATTGTCGGAGTTGTGATTTTTTAAAGTATGTTATTAGACTCTAGAGGACTTAAAAATTGACGTAGCAAGGCTTGCTTTCACGGGGCTCACCCCGTTAGGGGAGTGGGGCTCACTGTGTCTGAGCTGATGTTTACTGGGGAGGCCGTGTGGATTGGGGGTAGGTTCACTGTCAGAGACTGGAAGTCTCTGACCTCCTCGAGCTCTCACACTCAGGGTGCTGGGCCTGGTGACCTCCTGGAGCCTTTTCACTATGAATTAGAAGAGGGGTGGGGGGAGTTGTCCCTGGAGCATTTGGTGTTTCTTGTTTGTTTGTCTGTTTTTAAGCACTAAAACCCTTAAAAGTGTTTTTCATGTAATGCTAAAAGTAGTGCTTCCCCTTTATCTGTGTTGGCTGGCCCAGTTGCCACTCTAAATTCAGAAGAGGAGAGCGACCCTCCAACCTACAAGGATGCCTTCCCTCCACTTCCTGAGAAAGCTGCTTGCCTGGAAAGTGCCCAGGAACCCGCTGGAGCCTGGGGAAACAAGATCCGGCCCATCAAGGCTTCTGTCATCACTCAGGTAGAAACACCATTCTTTCTTTCCTTCAAAAATTTTATCATGCAACATGTCCCTGTAAATGTTTTAATTTTTTTTGTTTTGTTTTGTTTTGTTTTTGAGGCAGAGTCTCGCTCTGTCACGCAGGCTAGAGTGCAGTGGCACGATCTCGGCTCGCTGCAAGCTCCGCCTCCCAGGTTCACGCCATTCTCCTGCCTCAACCTCCCAAGTAGCTGGGACTACAGGCGCCCGCCACCACACCCGGCTAATTTTTGTATTTTTAGTAGAGACGGGGTTTCATCATGTTAACCAGGGTGGTCTCGATCTCCTGACCTCGTGATCCGCCCTCTTCGGCCTCCCAAAGTGCTGAGATTACAGGCATGAGCCACCGCGCCCGGCCAATTTTTAAAATGTTTAAAAATTCATTGCTGTTCTTTCTTAACCTATCCTTCCAAGCATAGAGTTTCTGAACATGCAAGATTGAGAATGCTTTGAGTAGCTAAAGGGAGAAGGCCTTCACGTTAAATCATCCCCCATCCCAGAGATGTTTCTGTTGACCATTTGTCTCGTGTCCACCCTGGATACTAGCACTCAGCAGGACTGGCATGTGGTCGGTTTGCAGGCAGTGTTTGTCAGATGAATGGGTCCTGTTTTCTGTTCTCTATTCATCGTCCCACTTTCTTGGAGCAGTTAACCAGTTTCCTGGTTTTCGTTGGCTTCACTAGCCATTCTCTCTGCTACCTGAATTTGAGATGTTGATGAGTTTCAAAACTTTTATATAAACTCGTATCTTCTGGTCATGGTGGAAAATTATCATCTCTCTGCCAGTGTTGTCCCTGAAATTAGGCTCATAAACAGCTGCATCCCAGTCCTTCCATTCTCACCTGTCTGCTATCTTGTTGGTGGTTTTGTTAAATGTACCGCTGTCTACTTGGTGACTGTGGTCTCAAACCAGGGTAGTTGATCCCCTTGCTTCTACGTTGTCCCTCCTCAGTTCTTCTCCATAAAGCAATGGGAGGGACCCTGCGCCATCAAGCAGAATATGCCTCCTGCTGAAACCCTGTGTTGACTTTTACTCCGGGTGGGATGGGTGATCCTCTGAACTGTGCCCCTCTGGTGTGCTCATCAGGTGCCCCATCTACCTCCTCGGCTTTCCTGCCTGTACACCCGTAGTTCCCTCACCTCTTAGCATGGATAGCTGCCTCGTGCTTCAGGAAGGTGTTTCCTGGCCGTCCCCAGGCTCCACCTCCCACTTTCTCTCAAACTCTCTTCCCCCTGTTGATTTCATCACAGCACTTGCTAGCTGCCTCATCCATTTGTGCCGCCGATGTAGTTCTCTCCTCCTTAGGATGCCAGCCTCTTGACCTTGGCACTTTCTCCTTGTCTTTCAGCTGCTTTATCCCAGGGCTTCGAGCAGTGCCTGTGGGCAGGGTGGGGCTACTTTGTGAGTGGATGGTGATGAACACATGTTCTTTACTCCCTGTCTGTTGGCTTTCTTTTAATCTCTTAACCTTCCCTTTTTTGATCTTTTTTGAACAGGTGTTCCATGTACCCCTGGAGGAGAGAAAATATAAGGATATGAACCAATTTGGAGAAGGTGAACAAGCAAAAATCTGCCTTGAGATCATGCAGAGAACCGGTGCTCACTTGGAGCTGTCTTTGGCCAAAGACCAAGGCCTCTCCATCATGGTGTCAGGAAAGCTGGATGCTGTCATGAAAGCTCGGAAGGACATTGTTGCTAGACTGCAGACTCAGGTGGGTAGCCTGAGGCCTACTTCTCCCCAGTGACTGTGTACCCATTCCATTACTCGGCTCCTGATGCAGGCTAGAACTTCACTGGACCCTTCTGCCAGTGGGACAGTTCAATCTTTCGGAGGTGGGACAGCAACATTCAGAGTCCTCTGGCATTTTTAGTGGAAAAGACTCACTAAACTAATAGTAGAACTGGGACACTTACCATTTTTGCTCTTTGAGTGAATGAACTTGAAAGTAATAATAATTTTTTTTGTTTTAAGAGACAAAGTCTCACTTTGTTGTCCAGGCTCTTGTGCAGTGGCACTTCACAGGTGTGGTTACAGTACACTGTGGCCTGGAGCTCCTGGGCTCAGGCAGTCCCCCTCCTAGCCTCCCAGTTAGCTGGGATTACAGACACACCACCACATCTGGCCAAATTGGAAATTAGAAGCTTGTCCCAGAGGTTGAGACACTTAAAAGAAACTGGGCTTGCTGAGTGGTGAAGATGGTGGTCCCCATTGCTTTGCTGGTGTGTTCACTGACTACATGTTAATAGGCCCCAGGTTTAGGAGATTACAAGTTCAGAATTGTGAGGTAGTATCAGATATATAGTAATGTTTATTTATTGTTTTTTTTTGAGGGCGCGGAGTTTCTCTTGCTGCTGCTGTTTTTGCTTGCTGAGTGCTGAGTGGCGGATTTCTCGAGGTCACTGCAAGCTCCGCCTCCCAGTTTACGCCATCGCCTCAGCCTTCTCGAGGTGTGGGTCAAGAGGGCGCCTTGCACCTCGCCGGCTAGATTTTGTATTTTAGTAGGACGGCGTGTTTCACCGTGTTAGCCAGGATGGTCTCGATCTCCTGACCTTGTGATCCGCCCATCTCGGCCTCCCAAAGTGCTGGGATTACAGGTTTGAGCCACCGCGCCCGGCCAAGTTCAAATTATATTTTAAGCCACTTTCCTAGTACTTGGACTTTATTGAAGAACATTTGTAATAAGCAAATCTCTGATGCATTTCTCCCTAACTGGCAGCTCTTAAAGACCAAGAAAAATGTAAACAATCTTATTAAAATGTTGCATGACTGCTGTTGTACTGCATAGGCTTATTTAGGAATGGGGGTTCTTCCCATCTGCTACTGAGTCTCCTTGATCTTGTGGGAGCTGGATCTGGAGCACCCTGGAGCATGGTGGTTGGACGGTGGGGATCTGATGGGAGAGGGGCCGAGGGGTAGGAGCACAGGGCGTAGCCAGGAGGCGAGGCAGGGGAGTGCCGCCTGATGCAGGTCCAGCTGTGCCACTTAATCACATGGGGGCATCGGGACAGTTCCCAACCCCAGCTGGCTTCATGGAGTGTTAAGTGTTAGGAAGGTGAAAGTGTTGCTTGTAATTGCCCAGCATTGTGGCCAGTGCATAGTAGGCTCTGAAAGTTTTGCTGGTGTCTGCCAGTCAGTGGATATTTGAGCCTCTGTTTTGTAATGAACACTGCAGGGGAAAGGGCCACTTCACTGAATATATGGATCAGAATGAAGACATTCACCCTTGACACTCTCTCCTGCTCCTCGATTATCTTAAAACAAATCCCAGATACATTATTGTGCCTTACTTCAGGGAGTCCCGTTCTTATGTATACATATGTGTAGTCATTCTGCTCTTAACTCATGTAGTCATATTGATAGTGGTTTCTTAATATTATACCTGTGTTTAACCCAGTCTGTGTTGGACTTTCCTCATCATCTCAAAGATGTTTCTTCGAGTTGGTCTGTTCAAGTCATTGTCCATACAAGGTCCCAGTGTTGCATTTGATTATAGAGTCCTTGTTTAACAGTGCTTAACACTGTAACAATCCCTCCTACCCCTCCCCCCCTTTTTTTTTTTGAGACAGGATCTCATTTTGTTGCCCAGGCTGGAATGCGGTGGTGCAGACACAGCTCACGGCAGCCTTGACCTCCTGGGCTCAAGTGATCCTCCTGACTCAGCCCTTCAAGTAGTTGAGACTGCAGGCATGCACCATCAGGCCTGGCTTTTTTTTTTTTTTTTTTTTTGTGGCAGGTACGAGTTTTCACCATGTTGCCCAGGCTGGTCTTGAACTCCTAGGCTCAAATGATCCACCACTTCAGCCTCCCAAAGTGTTGGAATTACAGACATGAGCCACCATGCTCAGCCAGTCCTCCCTTTTTTTTAATGCCATTGATTATTGGGGACTGTGGGTATTTGGTTTGTTCTGCTAGCCGCTGATTATTTTTGGTGAACTGGTATTAGATCTCTAGGGGCTTGGTTACTTCCGCAGTCAGCTTGTTTGGCAAGAAGACCCTGTAGGTGGTGCTCAGTCCGTGCTGTGACTGCTGGTTGTTCTGCTTGTACTGATTTTGAGATTGATCAGTAGGCTCAGGTCTGGGTCTTCCCTTGTAAAGTTCCCTATCAGTGGTTTGTGTAATCGTTTTACTATCAGTTGGTGGTTACTGCCCAAATTCGTTAAGGGTTGCAAATTATGCTTTTCTAATTCTCTCCCTGCTCATACATTAGTTGATAATTCTTGTAAAGAAGAATTTTTCTTTATCAGCAGTTGAGTGGGAAGTGCCAGATAAATAATTGATTCTTTGGCACTCCAGCGACTTCAGTGTTGATCAGTGACTCTTTTAGTGTCATTATGAACTCAGGCATTGTCCGTCATTCTTCATGCTGGAGATGCTCCATCTTTGGCCAGTGCGTCCCCTCCTTTCAGTTTTGTTCCCTGCAGCTTTCTGTCATGACCCATTAATATCAGTAACTTCTGGCCAGGCTTTCTTAATATTATACCTGTGTTTAACCCAGTCTGTGTTGGACTTTCCTCCATCCATTTGTGCCGCCGATGTAGTTCTCTCCTCCTTAGGATGCCAGCCTCTTGACCTTGGCACTTTCTCCTTGTCTTTCAGCTGCTTTATCCCACCTGTAATCCCAGCTACTCAGGAGACTGAGGCAGGAGAATCACTTGAACCCGGGAGGCAGAGGTTGCGCTGAGCTGAGATCGCGCCACTGCACTCCAGCCTGGGCGACTGAGCAAGACTCTGCCTCAAAAATAAATAAATAAATAAATAACTTCTTAATTTCTAACACAGAAAGATGCCTCAGGCTAATCTTACATATTTCCTTCCACAGACCTTGAGTCAGCTATTTCTCTATGAACTCTGAACCTTTTGAGTAGGAAATTGCAGTTGGAGACTCCAGTCTCCATAGCTGGACATGGCGACTAGGTTGTCAAGAGCTTCTAGGCTTTTTCAGAAGACAGAGCTAGGAAAATTGTGCTTTTAAGAAAGGCACATCAGGCGGTGGGTCTCACACCTGTAATCCTAGCACTTCGGGAAGCCGAGGTGAGCAGATTGCATGAGCCCAGGGATTTGAGACCAGCCTGGGCAACGTGGCCAGACCCCATCTCTACAAAAAATAGCTGGGTGTGGTGGCGCTCACCTGTAATCCCAGCTACTTAGAAGTCTGAGGAGAAAGGATTGTTTGAGCCTGGGAGGTGGAGGCTTCTGTGAGCGGTGTGTGCACCACTGCAACCCAGCCTAGGTGACAGAGTGAGAGCCTATCTCAAAAAAGGAAAATCATGAGTTCAAAATGACTTGAAGTAATTCTTTTTTTCTGAGTTTTCCTGTCATCTTGATATGGTTAGATACATTTGTTTCCATTTATTGTCAATTTTTAAAAAGTATTTCAACATTTATATGCTTGCAAAGTCAACGTTATATAATAAAGTATATTTATTTATATACTTTATTTATATAAATTAGAGAAATTTCCCTAGCCTGTTACCGTCACCCTGCTCCCTCCCCACCTCTGTAGGCGGCTATTCCTGGTCCTGGTTTATGCTTTGTTGTTTGTTATTTGAGAACAGAAGCAAAATACAGCTTGCCATACGCCCTGTTCTATCCTTGCTTTTTTTCTTTTATTATTGTTTGGAGGTGTCTGCATATCAGTAAGTAGTGATTTTTCTCATTTCTTTATTCAGAAGTGTAATACTCTGTGGGCATACTGTAATTTACCCAGGCTCTCCTACTGATGGGCATTTGGGTAGTTTCCAGACTTTAGCTGTTACAAATTATTTTACAGTAAAAATCGTGTGCATATGCTATTTCCTATTTTACCCAGTGTATCTTGGGATATATTCCTAGAAGTGAGATGGCTGGGTCAGAGGGTGGCTGCATATGGAATTGGGCCATCTGATGCTAAATTTCTTTCCTTAGGAGTTAGTGTTTTGCAGTCTCATCAGCACTATGCAGGAGCTAGGCTCATCACATTCTTGGGTTTTAGCCCCTGAGAGAGGCAACCAAATATACTTTTAATTTGCATTTTTCTGATGAGCAATATTGAGCACCTTTTCAATATATGAGGACCACTTGCATTTTCTGTTATCTTGAGTCATTGTTAGGAAAGTTTTTTCACTATCAGGTCCTAAGAAAGTTTATATTTTCTTCTGCTGCTTGTAAATGTGTTCTTACATTTCAGTTTCTGATCTATTTGGAATTTATTGCAAATAGGGTTGAGGCACTGATCAAGTTTCACCTTTTTCCATATGGCTTTCGAGTTGTCAGCACTATTTTTTTGTTTTGTTTTGTTTTAACACAGGGTCTCAGCCTGCCACATAAGCTGAAGTGCCATGGCGTGATCACGGCTCACCAGAGCCTCAACCTCCTAGGCTTAGGCAGTCCTCCTGCCTCCACCACCCCAGTAGCTGGGACCACAGGCACATGTCACCATGGCCAGCTATTTTTTTTTCTTTTTGAGACAGAGTCTCGCTCTGTCATCCAGGCTGGAGTGCAGTGGCGCAATCTCGGCTTACTGCAAGCTCCGCCTCCCGGGTTCACGCCATTGTCCTGCCTCAGCCTCCCAAGTAGCTGGGACTACAGGCACCTGCCACCTCGCCCAACTAATTTTTGTATTTTTAGTAGAGACAGAGTTTCACTGTGTTAGCCAGGATGGTCTTGATCTCCTGACCTCATGATCCGCCCTCCTCAGCCTCCCAAAGTGCTGGGATTACAGGCATGAGCCACCGTGCCTGGCCTCGGCCAGCTGATTTTTAAAATTTTTGTAGAAGTGAGGTCTCACCATGTCGTCCAGGCTGATCTTGGACTCCTAGGCTCAAACAATCCTCTCACCTCAGCCTCCCAGAGTGCTGGGATTACAGGCATGCCATCACCATCTTGAAAAGACATTTTGCTCCAGTGGGCTTGAGTGGCTGCTTTTATAATGTGCTAGGTGTTTATATTAACTTAGGTCTGTTTCTGGGTTTTCAGTTCAGACCAGCAGGTCTGTCTTTCCATATACTGATATTTCCTATGTTAATGATAATGGTTTCATGTTTAATGTCTAGGACCACTGTTAACACCTCCACCCTGCACTATTCTTTTTCAGGGTTTTCTGGTTTATTTGTGTTTGTTCTGTGTTACAACCTTTATAATCAGCTGTTTGAAATTGTATTAATATTTTAAAGTTAATTGGGATAACTGCCATCTACTTAAACCTTCTTTTACCTCTTTTAAGGAGTGTTTTCTAGTTTCTAATGCACATACTTCGCCTTGTGTTGCGCTTTATGTCTAGCTTTCTTCCTGTCCTTTTTTTCTTTTGTCCTTTTTTCTATTAGAAACACATCTTTTGGCCAGGCGCAGTGGCTCACACCTGCAATCCCAGCACTTTGGGAGGCCGAAGTGGGCGGATCACGAGGTCAGGAGTTCGAGACCATCCTGGCCAACATGGTGAAACCTTGTCTCTACTAAAAATATAAAAATTAGCCGGGCGTGGTGGCACACGCCTGTAGTCCCAGCTACTCGGGAGGCTGAGGCAGGAGAATCCCTTGAATCTGGGAGGTGGAGGTTACAGTGAGCTAAGATCATGCCATTGCACTCCAGCCTGGCGACAGAGCGAGACTCCGTCTCAAAAAAAAAGAAATGCATCTCTGTCATTACATCTTCCAAGTAGTTGTTGTTTGTGGAAGTTAATGTTGTTAACTTCTGGATTTCAGTCTTTTCTCCCTGCTATAAATAGAATTTAACCCAGCAGTTTTTTCAGGGTTTCTGGATATGCAATCATGCTTCTTCCTGTCCAGCTTCTGTGGATGTGAACTGTTGCCTCCCTTTGTGGGTGTATATTCCGGTGGATGTTTAGTAGTGCGGATACACTTGAACTTACGCTAGGCTGGGAGTCAGGGCAATCTTCCCCAAGCATGTGATGTGTAAGCTCACGCTGTTCTAATGGATGGGTTGGGGCTGGTGGGCAAGAATAAGCAAAGATGGTGTTTCTGCCAGAATGTCTTGGAAAAATACGCTCCTTCAGATCCTACAAATACTCTTGTTTTCCTTGATTCTCTTCTTGCTGTAGGCCTCAGCAACTGTTGCCATTCCCAAAGAACACCATCGCTTTGTTATTGGCAAAAATGGAGAGAAACTGCAAGACTTGGAGCTAAAAACTGCAACCAAAATCCAGATCCCACGCCCAGATGACCCCAGCAATCAGATCAAGATCACCGGCACCAAAGAGGGCATCGAGAAAGCTCGCCACGAAGTCTTACTCATCTCTGCCGAGCAGGTGAGGCCTGCGTGAGTGCCTCGTGCCCCTGCCTTCCTCCTTGTGCAGACCTCACTCCCTCATGGGTTGCTGTGTCCAGTGTGGACGTAAAGGCATAAGGTGGTGGGGGTGGAGGGCTTGACTCCAACCCTGAGAAGCCCTGTCTGTCCCCAGTTTGTTTTCAGAGGCCTGTTCTCATCAGGTCATCCCTTCCTTTCCAGGACAAACGTGCTGTGGAGAGGCTAGAAGTAGAAAAGGCATTCCACCCCTTCATCGCTGGGCCGTATAATAGACTGGTCGGCGAGATCATGCAAGAGACAGGGACACGCATCAACATCCCCCCACCCAGCGTGAACCGGACAGAGATTGTCTTCACTGGAGAGAAGGAGCAGTTGGCTCAGGCCGTGGCTCGCATCAAGAAGATTTATGAGGAGAAGGTACATGATTTAGAGGAGGCAAATCCCCATGGGCAGGAATAGAAACTAGGATTTGGGTCTGGAGATTCAGTTAAGGCCTGGCTCAGCCCCTTATCTTTTTGTCCTTGATGAAGATGCTTATTGTCTCTACACTAGAGTGGCCCGTGTGAGATCAGTGCCCGCCCGTCCCTTGCTGTTGAGCATCTGCAGGCCGGTTGTCCTTGCCGTCCTGGGCCTCTGGCTGTGCTGACATGCTGCCAGCTGGGCTGCCCCAGGTCAGACGCACAACCCAGACTTGTTCACGTCTTAGATTAAGCTGTTAGCTCCGCTTAGTGAACTTTGAGATCTGAAACGGGTTCCTTAATTGAGGGAAAGGATTGGGTGTTTTGCAGTGTTCAAGGACGAAGTTATCAGCCGGCGGGTGACTATTCTAGGGAAAATCCAGTCTTGAGCAGTGAAGTTGGTGGGGATTGGCTAGTCCTGATCACTGTTGTTCACTTCTTGGGATCAGCATCTGTAGTCTGGGCCACTTTGGCTTGCTTTCTGCAGCAGTGGCCGTGCCCACCTGCCTGCTTCCCACACCTTTCCCTTTGACTGCCCCTTATGGTGCTCTTATTTAGAAAAAGAAGACTACAACCATTGCAGTGGAAGTGAAGAAATCCCAGCACAAGTATGTCATCGGGCCCAAGGGCAATTCATTGCAGGAGATCCTTGAGAGAACTGGAGTTTCCGTTGAGATCCCGCCCTCAGACAGCATCTCTGAGACTGTAATACTTCGAGGCGAACCTGAAAAGTTAGGTCAGGCGTTGACTGAAGTCTATGCCAAGGTAACTGCCTCTGAGCATGAAATGTGTCTCCTTTGAGTGGAGTCCGCGGGGCCTTCATGGATGAGCTCTCGATTTGTAAATCCTGGGACCTGGACACAGTGCAGGTGCCCAGGTTTGGGGAGTGCGCGTCTCTCAGCCCCAGGTGAGCAGCCTGGCTTTCACTGTGACGTGACCTTGAGCTCTGCAAACCCATGGCTGTTTTCCCGTTTTCTTAGGCCAATAGCTTCACCGTCTCCTCTGTCGCCGCCCCTTCCTGGCTTCACCGTTTCATCATTGGCAAGAAAGGGCAGAACCTGGCCAAAATCACTCAGCAGATGCCAAAGGTAAGGACGCGTTTTTCACCTGTTGTATTGAATTTGTCTTGTTTTCTGTCTTTCTGTTTCTGACATTGTTTTGTTGACCTTTGTACTGTGGATGCCCTTGAAAACTGGTGTATTTTTCTGAATTAACGGGCCTGTTTGACATGGTCAACTTCCATGTTAGCTGAAGAACAGCAGAATAAATGTCTGTAGATGTCTGTACCATCCTTCTAGTCTTTAACCAGAGAGGATTGTGTGTTACTAGGTTTCATAAGTATCTTAGGAAACATGTCATTTAGTAATTATGGTGAAATAACTTCATAATCGTTTGAAGAGCAGAACTTGTATACAAATTGTATGAAGAGTGAATTTAAAGCTTTCTCAGTTTACCAAAGGAGATTGTAGCATCCAGAAAACATGAACAAAAAAGAAATACCAGAGAATCCAACCATCATATTTAATTCATGTTTTGTTTAAAATTTGTTTCCAGTTAATGTTACAGTCCTTTTTAAAAATAAAATTTTTTTTATTTTATTCCTTCTTTTTAGTGACAAAGCCTCACTCTGTCACCCAAGCTGGGGTGCAGTGGCACGATCATAGCTCACTGCAGCCTTGAACTCATGGCTCAAGTGATCCACTCGTCTCAGCTTCACAAGTAGCTGGCACTACAGGCGCGCACCACCATCCCAGGCTAGTTTTTGTGGAGGCAGGGTCTTGCTGTGTTGCCCAGGCTGATCTCGAACTCTTGGGCTCAAGTAGTCCTCCTGCCTCAGCCTCTCAAAAAGTTGAGGTTATGGGTGTGAGTCACTGTGCCCAGCCCCTTTTCCTTCTTATAGCTTCATATAAGGACCAGTCTCCCTCCCTTAACTCCTTACCTGGAGGGTAATAAACCAGGAAAGCTGGCAGCCTCGTCTACGTCGAGCAAGTCACTTTGCCACCTTGGTGCAGCTGTACTAGTTTTAAAATTCCATCCATGCCCTGTCTCATTCTTCATGCGACTGAAGAGGACCAGGCCTTGTAAAAGTTCAGATGATGCATGAGCATCTCGCATGCTTTATGTTAGTGGCTTCTGTGGAGCAAACCGTGTTCTCAGTGAAAGGCAAGATTATTCGGCCACAGTGTTGAGTTTCCTGATTATGGCTCCCTAACCCTGCCTTTCAACTTTGCTTGATGTCTGTGTATATGTCCCTCCCTCCCTAACATACACATGAGGCAATTTGGGATCAGAAGCCACTCCCAAGAGAGCACCCGTGGGCTCCCTGAGGACCAGCAATTGCACACTGGGAGCTGAGGGGCCGCAGCTGGGCCATTCTGTTTTAGCCATCTCTTTTTGTGTGGTTTTGGTGTGGTAGGTTCACATCGAGTTCACAGAGGGCGAAGACAAGATCACCTTGGAGGGCCCTACAGAGGATGTCAATGTGGCCCAGGAACAGATAGAAGGCATGGTCAAAGATTTGGTAAGGTGCCCTTTGGAATGTTGTGTGTGCTGGTGACAAGGGAGGCTCTGAGTTGGGCATGGGTGGTCATCTCTCGGTGACATCCCACATGGCCGGGCACAGGCACCCAGGGCATCCTAGCTAGGTGAGTACTAAGTTCTGAAACAACTAGAAGCTGGCTGAAGTCCTGGAATAATTGTGGGTAGAGGAAACTTTATTTTGAAGAAGGCATCTTTCAGGGGAGACACAGGGGCAGTCTCCAACAATTCCTGACAGCTGAGTGGTTAGAAAAGGCAACCGTGGAGACTGTCGGGTGTTGGTTCAGCTCATTGATCAAGTAACTGGGCACATCCATGGACCTCTGTGCCTCCTGCAGATTAACCGGATGGACTACGTGGAGATCAACATCGACCACAAGTTCCACAGGCACCTCATTGGGAAGAGCGGCGCCAACAGTGAGTGAGGCTGTCTGTTGCAGTGGGGCCAGTGTGCCCTGAGACCCTTGTTGGGGTGTCAGGTGTGAGAACTAGGACGTTTGTGCAGACAGTCCAGGCCCAGTGCTACCTGTAATGGGAGTTTCAGACTTTACATTCTCCTGCTTGCGGGAAGAGGCCACTTTTCCTTTGCCCCTTGGTGCAGTGGTTGGATTAGAGCTGTTTGGCCAGTGGGTGAATTGTCACTTTTGGAACTCCATCTAAGCCCTCTGCAAGTAACCCACAGGGGCCATGTTGAAGGCACGCCCAAGGGCAGCATCCTCTGTATTTCAGTCAGACCTGCTACGTTAGCCTCACATCAGTGTTTGTAGTACTCATGCCTTCTGAACATGGAAACTGCTGATCTGGAACTCACTGAAGCGTAAAAAAGGTCTAGATTTGAGCCCAAGTAGAAACAACATGGGGAGGGATACTTTTTTTCTTTTTGAGACAGGGTCTCGCTCTGTCACCCAGGCTGGAGTGCAGTGGCGTGATCTCAACTCATTACAACCTCTGCCTACCGGGCTCAAGTAATTCTCCTGCCTCAGCCTCCTGTGTAGCTGGGACTACAGGCGCATACCACCACTTGCAGCTAATTTTGTTTGTTTGTTTATTTGTTTGTTTGGAGACGGAGTCTTGCTCTGTTGCCCGGGCTGGAGTGCAGTGGTGCCATCTCAGTTCACTGCAAGCTCCGCCTGCCGGATTCACACCATTCTCCTGCCTCAGCCTCCCGAGTAGCTGGGACTGCAGGCGTCCGCCACCATGCCTGGCTAATTTTTTTTGGTATTTTTTGTAGAGGCGGAGTTTCACGGTGTTAGCCAGGATGGTCTCGATCTCCTGACCTCGTGATCTGCCCACCAGGGCCTCCCAAAGTGCTGGGATTACAGGCGTGAGCCACCGCACCTGGCAATTTTTGTATTTTTAGAAGAGACGAGGTTTCACCGTGTTGGCCAGGCTGGTCTCAAATTCCTGGGCTCAGGTGATCTGCCCTCCTCGGCCTCCCGAGATGCTGGTATTAAAAGTGTGAGTCGGGCCAGGCGCAGGGTGGAAGGTGAGAAGGCAAACACGTCCTCCATTCCTGGATAGTTCAGTGGATGAAGGAGCCTTTCCCAGGGAGTGGGACACTAACCTGCATCTCATGACTGATGTCCGTGTATCCGTTTTTGTTACGAGTAAACATAGGCTTGTCAGCTGTGCTGTGGCCTGTGCAATGGTGAGCTCTCTGATGTCAGTATTACGTTTTGTGGTCAGGGACGAGAGTCTACAGGCACAAAGTGACATTTTTGCGCACTGCTTGAACCATGCACACACCATAAACTTGCTTTTATGTTTTGTTTTGGTTTTGGTTAACCGTAGTGTTTATTTAGGTCTGACACAGTGGCTCGTGGCTGTAATCCCAGCATTTTGGGAGACCAAGGCAGGAGGATCACCTGAGCCCAGGAGTTAGAGATGAGCCTGGGCAACATAGTGAGACCCCCATCTCTACAAAAAAGAAAAATTTAGCCAGGCCTGTGGTCCCAGCTACTCAGGAGGCTGAGGCAGGAATATCACTTGAGCCCAGGAAGTCAAGGCTACAGTGAGCCGTGATCATACCATGCCACTGCATTTTAACCTGGGTGACAGAGCAAGACCTTGTCTCAAAACACATATATATGGAAGTACAGTAGTGTAATTCTAACATTAATTTCTAGTTTCTGCCCCCGAGAAATTGCAGAATATAGCTTAGTGAGTCATGTCTGTTCTGATTTCTTCTCATGCAGTTCCTAACTCTCGTTTTCCTTCGTAATCTAAAAAAACCTGCTGCCCATCTCCCATGTCCTCTGCTTCTCTTGTCTTGTGTTGCTCCACCTGGAACAGCTGTATGTCCATGTCACCCTCCATCAGCGCATCGCCTCGTTGCTGCCTCTGCATGTGCATGTGTTCGGGATGGATGCACAAAAAGTCCTCCTGGTGGTCCTGCCAGCAAGCTGGGCTTTCCTTTACTGCACAGTGGGCAAGATTCCTGCCTTGTTTCCTGATGATGCGGCTTCTCCAGAGTTTGGGGGACCTGGAACTCTAACTTGGGGGTACTGGGTTCTATCCAGAGAGGTTGACAGCAGGAGGGTTTGCAACAGCACTTGTCTTGCAGACATAGTGAAGTGCTCAGTTCGAATCTGAGCCAACAGTAGATGGGGTCTCTGGGCAGCAGCATGGTCCCCGCAAGGCTCTTAGGCATCAGTGAGTGCTTTTGTGTGGAGTTAATGTGTGTGATTTTTTTAACTTGAGAATAGTAGTTCCCAGACTTACTGCACGTTAGAAACACCTGGAATCTTTTAAGTATTCTGAAGCCCCAGCCATACCCCAGACGAGCTAAATCCCAGACTGAGTGGCCCCAACCATCAGTTACTTGAAGGTCTCGGGGCATTGCCAACTTGTGGTCGAGGCTGAGAGCCTGTCCTCCAGAACCCTTGTGATCCAGGTCAAGATCATAACTGGCCCCCATTCTAGACAAGGGAGATTCTTGTTTTGGAAGCTAAGCATCATTTTTGGTGAATGGGAATCATTGATAAGGTTATGTGGCACTTTAGCCCCGTCCTGCCTAGTTGTTAGTCACTGGCAGAATGTTGTTGGTCTGTGTCCTAAATGTGTTTCCTTTTGTGTTCTAAGTAAACAGAATCAAAGACCAGTACAAGGTGTCCGTGCGCATCCCTCCTGACAGTGAGAAGAGCAATTTGATCCGCATTGAGGGGGACCCACAGGGTGTGCAGCAGGCCAAGCGAGAGCTGCTGGAGCTTGCATCTCGCATGGTAAGTGCCATGTTCGGGGCCTCTAGGAAGGCGCTGGCCTTGCGTCTGTTGGCTCCCTCTAAGGAGCAGCGTGTTGTGGTGTGCGGCCTTGGAGAATGGAAGTCAACAAATCCCACGTTGCACTGGAACCGGATTTGACTCCCTGGGGCCACATTTCCTTTATCCTCCCCAGGTCACCTGCACGTCTTGTCCTCCATGGCTGTGTGCTGTGCTAGAAGGGCACAGAGACTGTGTGGCAGCGTCTTGGCCTTGGCCATACCCTGGGTTCCCAGATGCCTGGGTACCATCTCCAGAGATTGTGACAGACATTTCTGGATTCTCAAAGGCATCCCAGGTGGTTCTCATGTAAGGCCAAACTCGAGGATCACTGCAAACCTGAAGTGGGGGCTGTTGCTCTCTACCACCTGGCAGAAGCACTGCACTGCTCTGGGCTCCCCAACGTTTCGTGCATGCTTATGCCAGCTGTGAGCACCCTTGCTTCTGTGAGTCAGATGCCCACACTTGAAAGTCTCTGGGTGTCTTTGAGTATCCAGAGAGGTCAAAGACTGCGTGAGTGCCTGCAGCAGCCCTTTGGCCTGACTGTGTGAGGAACGTGCACCAGGGTTCCTGTCATTCGCTTAGGGGCTTCTTTGTTCACCTCCCCCCAGTACCCCCATGAGGAGTCTCAAATTGGCAGACCTCTTTTATAGCCCTGAGCTGCAATCCAGGGTGTGATGCAGCCTCCCACTGCTTGTGGCCTTCCCGGTGCTCATTCCCCCATATCCCAGGTTCTCCTCTTAGCCTGGCCTCCAGCCCGGGTCCGTTGTCCTGGCTGCTTTATGCCCTTCCTGACTGCTGAGCCCTTGTTTCTCTGTCAGCCAATAGCCGTCTGATCCAGAATCTCTCAGAATTCTCGGAAACGTTTGGTAGGCTGATGGTATTCTTCCCTGGATTCCAGCCCTGCTTCTTATTCTGACATTTTAATGGGGCCTGTTGAGGAAGTTGAGAGCCATATGGGTTCAGTGCCCTGTGCTGAACATTCTTAGCCACGCAAGGAAAGTGGTCTGAGCCACCCTCTCTTCAGAAGGGGTCACTCACTGCTGTGTAGAATGCCAGGCCTCCGAGTGGAAGAGCTGGGCCTGCCCTGTAGCACCTGTTAAAACAGAAGTGCTTGCTGAACTGCTTTGGTGATTGCCGCTGTCATGATGGCACTTTCGGTTGAAGGGTCCTACAGTGAGTTGTGTAACTGGACTTTGTTGAGGAAAGTGGCGCGCAGCCAGTGTTGCGGAGTGTGGCGATGCTTGGCGAGAGCACTCACCATGCGCTGTGCACTCTAACGGCTGGTTGCTCCCAGGGGTGCTACGAGGTGCCATCTGGAGACCACCTCACCTGCTCCGTGAAGGACTGCGCCCAGGGCTCCCTGGTGTCCCCTTGTGTCAGCGGGGAGTTGCTCACCATGCTTGTGATAAATGACATCTACTTGAATTGTATTTTTAGGAAAATGAGCGTACCAAGGATCTAATCATTGAGCAAAGATTTCATCGCACAATCATTGGGCAGAAGGGTGAACGGATCCGTGAAATTCGTGACAAATTCCCAGAGGTAAAGTTTCCCAGAGACATTCTGTAACTCTATAGGAGTGGTCCAAGTCACACTTCAGGAATATTTGATATTTGGGATATATGTCCTTCCTCATACTTGAACTTAGTCTCCCCGTGATTTGTTCTAGGTCATCATCAACTTTCCAGACCCAGCACAAAAAAGTGACATTGTCCAGCTCAGAGGACCCAAGAATGAGGTGGAAAAGTGCACAAAATACATGCAGAAGATGGTGGCAGATCTGGTAGGGGTGTTTTACATCCTTTCTTGTACGACAGCACCTGTGGTGGGTGGGGCGTGTGTCCTGTCAGAAGTCCTGACCCCCACAGGACCCCTGCTCTGGAGAAAGCACATAGGAACTGGGCTGGGCTTCCATCCAGGGACTTGGGACAAAGTGGTGACGGCTTCTCACTTAATACCTGGATGTTTAGATTGGCAGCCTTTTTTTTTTTTTTTTTTGAGACGGAGTCTGGCGCTGTCGCCCGGGCTGGAGTACAGTGGCCGGATCTCAGCTCACTGCAAGCTCCGCCTCCCGGGTTTGCGCCATTCTCCTGCCTCAGCCTCCCGAGTAGCTGGGACTACAGGCACCCGCCACCTCGCCCGGCTAGTTTTTTGTATTTTTTAGTAGCGACGGGGTTTCACTGTGTTAGCCAAGATGGTCTCGATCTCCTGACCTCATGATCCGCCCGTCTCGGCCTCCCAAAGTGCTGGGATTACAGGCTTGAGCCACCGTGCCCGGCCGGCAGCCATTTTTAAGACTGCAATTCAGGTGGGGAGATTTGCTTTTCTCATGCCCAGTTACCTTGTTTCCTTGAGGAGTCTTCAGATACCTAGAGAAACTGTCCCATCCAGTAAGATGAGAGGTATAACAGGTGAAATGAGTCATATACTGATTTATTATCTTTCTCAAAAACTGAAGTGGGAACAAGTTTAGAAAGTGTAGTGAGTAGTGGATGAGAAGGCCATAGGTGGCCATGTATTTCCGTGGGCTTCACCTTACCTGATGGCTGCCCTGGGAGAGGCGAGGGTGAGGGACTCCAGCACTGTGAGCTGCTGTCACATCACTGCCAAGTGCAGAATTGCCCAGAGCGTAGGGGTCTGTGCTGTCTCCATGTGTGTTCTGAGCCTCTTCCTCAGCCAGCTCTGATCCTGGCATGGGGCATGAACTCTCTCTTAGCCAAAAAGTGGACTTGTGTCGATTGACTGTAATTTGCAAGGTAAGTTAGTTGTTGGGCAAGTGATCTTTTACTTACTCTCATGACAAACCCCTGAAGGTTTGTTTGCAAATGCCAGTGCCCTGTTGTGTTCATGCTACCCTTAGGGGTAGAAGAGATACTGTATTTCACTCTCTAGCACAGGCAGTGAATCGGGCTGTGTTTTTTGTCTTTAAGGTGGAAAACAGCTATTCAATTTCCGTTCCGATCTTCAAACAGTTTCACAAGAACATCATTGGGAAAGGAGGCGCAAACATTAAAAAGGTGATAGCTTGTCCCCTGCATCTTGCTGCTGCTTGCTCTGTCCCTTGTAGCCCTGCGCCCTTTTGGTTTTAGACTAGGAGGGACTCTTGCTTACTTCTAGCCCTGTGCTCAGCTGTGTCTCAACTCTGGGAGAGCTCTAGTCAGCTTCTCATGGTGATCTCTCTCCTGTAGATTCGTGAAGAAAGCAACACCAAGATCGACCTTCCAGCAGAGAATAGCAATTCAGAGACCATTATCATCACAGGCAAGCGAGCCAACTGCGAAGCTGCCCGGAGCAGGATTCTGTCTATTCAGAAAGACCTGGTAATGGGAGATGTTTTCTAATGGAGATCCCCAGTAAAATCTCTAACAGCCTCTAAGATTGAGCCTGGGGTTGAGTCACGCCAGGGTCACTGGGCCAGCACGGACTCAGATGGCAGATGTGGAAGACTGCAGCGCATTGCAGCTTTCAATCCAAGCTGCTGCTGAGTTGGCCAGCAGTTTTCTGCCTTTGTCTCTCGTGGCGCTTACTTACCTGGACTGCAGCAGTAACGTTTGACATGGCCACTTGTGTTATTAGACATTTTCTTCTTGTTACCTGAAAATCTTATCTGAAGGTATTTATGGTATTTTCTTTCCTTTAAAAAAAAATGATATGCAGTAAATTGTACATATTTATAGTGTACAATTTAATAGTTTTGACATCTGTATACATCCATGAAATCATCCCCACCATCACCCCAAAAATGTCCCATGCCATGTGGTTTTACAGTCTCCCTCCATCCCACTTGGCTGCACCTTAAAACCACAGTCCCCTCACCCGCACCTCTCTATCCCCAGGCAGCCCCCAGTCTGCTTTCAGCCACAGGAGATGCTTTTGGATTGTCTACACTTGTGTGTGAGTGGAACCATAACATCTACTCTATTGGGCCCGTCTGCTTTCACTTTGCAGGATGTTTTGACATTTGTGTGTTGTCACCTATATCATTGCTTTGTCCTTTTTTATTTCAGGGTATTATTACACTGTATGGATAGATCATCTGTTTCTTTGTGTGTACTTGGTAATTAGTGTCTTTCAAGGGGTTTTCTATTTTCTCCAAGTTGTCAAATTTATTAACATGAAGTTTTTTTAGAATAGTCCTGCATTAGCCTTTTGCTGTCAATACTGATGTCACCTCTCCTTCATAATATATGTAATCTGTGCCATTATAAAATGGTGCCTTTTCCCTGGTAGTGTGCTTGGCTCCAAAGTCTGTGTTATCTTCCCCCCCCCCCCATATTTAAAATTTTGTTGGAGATGAGGTCTTGCTGTCGTCCAGGCTGGAGTGCGGTGGTGCAGTCATGTCTCACTACAGCCTTGGCTTCCCAGACTCAACCAGTCCTCCCACCTTAGCCTTCCAAGTAGCTGGGACCACAGGCGCATGCTACCGCACCGGGCTAAATTTTTTTTTTTTTTTTGCAGTTAGTAGAGATGAGGTCTTGTTATGTTGTCCAGGCTAGTCTCAAACTCCTAAGCTCAAGTGATCCTCTCACCTTGGCCTTCCAAACTGCTGGGATTACAGGTGTGAGCCACTGCACCCAGCCTACTTTATATGATACTAAAGTGGGTTTCTTTTTGGCAGCTTGCTTTTTACATTAAATCTATCTCTGCTTTTTAGATTATGATGTTTGTGGCCGGGCATGGTGGCTCACTCCTGTAATCCCAGCACTTTGGGAGGCTCAGGTGGGCAGATCACTTGAGCTCACAAGTTCAAGACCAACCTGGGCAAAACCCTGTCACTACTAAAACTACAAAAAGAATTAGCCAGTAATGGTGCTGCATGCCTGTAGTCCCAGCTACTCAGGAGGTTGAGGTGAGAGGATGGCTTGAGCCTGGGAGGTGGAGGTTGCAGTGAGCTGAGATTGCACTGCTGCACTCCAGCCTGGACCATAGAGCCAGACCTTGTCTCAAAAAAAAAAAAAAGTTATGATGTTTGCATTTAATTACATTTGTGATTATATGTATGTTATATATCACATACTTATATTTATTACGTATCTTTAACACGTGGTTAAATTGCTTTTACTGTAATTTTTTTACTGTAATTTTTTTCTCAGTTGTAAAATATACATAGCAGAATTTATCATTTTAATCCTTTTTGAATGGTTAATTCAACTGAGTACATTCACAAGGTTGTGCAACCATCACCCTGTCCGTTTTCAGAGCATTTCCCATCATCTTACCCAGAAACTACACCCATTAACAATAACTGCCACCATCCCCACGTGCTTAGTCACCACTATGTGATGATTTTATATGGTTGGCTTTCAGTCTACCATTTACATTATTAACCTTTAAAAAAAAAACATTATTTTTTAAAGAGGTTTAAGTAATATGAAAAAATGTGTGTATTATCCACACAGTTGCCATTTCTAGGGCTCTTCATTTCTTGGTGTGATCCTTGTCTTCATTTTCCTTCTGTCTGAAAGATACCACTTAACATCTCTTGTAGTGTGTATCTGATAATGAATTCCTTCACTTTTTGTATGTCTGAAAGTATTTTTTTCTTCACTTTTGAAAAAATGTTTCTGCTGCATAAAGGTTTCTAGGTTGGCAGGTTTTTCCTGTCAAGACTTGGCTTCAGTGCTGTCTCCTCTTGTTCCTGATGAGAAAGCTGACGCCTCCCCGGCCTTGTTCCTCCGTCCACGACAAACCTTCTCCCTCTGGCTGGTTTTAGGATTTTACCACCGTCTCTGAGCAAGTTAGGATGTGTCTTTGTGTAGTTTTCTTCATGTTTCTTAGCTTGGTGTTTATTAAGCTTCTTGAGTACGTGTGTTCAGTATTTCATCAAATGTGGAAAATATTTGGTCACTGAGAGTATTTTTTTCTGTTAGCCCCTTGCTGTCTCCCCGCCAGGGAGTCTAGTGACCGGGGTCTTAGTTGTCGTCTGCTTGTGCTCTGTTTATTCGAGCGGGGGGAGGGGCCATATCGGTTTTCTCCATGAGTTTCTTTAAATTCATTAACTCTTCGCAGTGTTCTAATCTGCCTAATTTCGTCTAATATAATTTTCATTTTAGATGTTTTCTTCTCTAGAAGTTCAGTCTGAATTAATATCTTCTGTATTTTCATTTCTTAACATGTTCATGTTCAGTCTTTCTGCTTTTGGCCATAGACAATACAGTTAAATACCTGTTTTACTGTCCTTGGCTGGCTGATGCTAACACTGTCATTTCTGGGTGGTTTTCTATTTTCTTTTCCTCGTTGTGGGTTTTCCCCCTATTCTTTGCATTTCTAGTGTTTCTTAATGAGGGTGTTTTTGTATTCCTCTGCATATTTGTTTGGCTTTGTGAAGTGACTCTGAAACATTCTGCTCCTTTTAGGACTTGCTTTTAAGCTTTATTAGGGAGGATCAGAGCAGTATTTAGTTCAGGCCCAAATATTTCCACTGTTGAGGTAAGATCCTTCTGGGTACTATACTCCACGTCCCAGAAAGTTGAACCTGCTGAGGACGGCTCTGGACCAGGCCCAGCTGAGCTGCAGGCACTGTTTCCTGTGATCCTTCTGGGGATTCTTTCCCGGGCCCAAGGTGATTTCCTCACGTGTGTCAGTGTGTGAGTGGCTGGTCTCCAGATCTCGGAGGTTCTCGATGCCAGTCTCTTTGGGCTCTGACCTCCTGTTCTTGCTATCTTGGATGGTTCCGTTTCCTCACCTTTCTGTACTGTAGCAGCAACTTGGGGCAGTTGTAGGGCTCACCTTGGTTCCTGTCTCCAGGGTTGTGAAAATCACCATTAGGCAGTAAGTTCAGTCCAGTCCCTGGTATTGCATCTTGGCTGAAAGCAGAACCTTTGGTTTTAATAGGAAAAGTTCATCCATAGGCATATGGACCCACCTCTGGCAGAGCCGGAGAGCTGACTGAAGAAGAGCATTATGTGTGGTCTGAAATTACCACGCTCCTGCCCTCCAACCCAACACACGTCCACGAGGACGCTGGGTCCTGTTGAGTTAAACACCTCCCAGTGCGCCTGCTCTGCTGGGCGCACCCCAGTCTCCCCAGGATGTACACTCTGCCAACACATTATCCAGCTCGTTGCTCCCTCCTCTCCCTGTGCAGATGAAAAATGGCTTGGAGAAGTTTGGTCAGTGCTTGTAAGTGGCAGCACCAGGGTTCTAAGCCTGTGTGTTCATCACCACCAAAGATGATAGTTTATCTTTTCCTCTGCCCTTTTTGCCACAAAAAGTGACTTCCTCCTCCTGTTGTGTGTTTGGTTTCAGGCCAACATAGCCGAGGTAGAGGTCTCCATCCCTGCCAAGCTGCACAACTCCCTCATCGGCACCAAGGGCCGTCTGATCCGCTCCATCATGGAGGAGTGCGGCGGGGTCCACATTCACTTTCCCGTGGAAGGTTCAGGAAGCGACACCGTTGTTATCAGGGGCCCTTCCTCGGATGTGGAGAAGGCGAAGAAGCAGCTCCTGCATCTGGCGGAGGAGAAGGTGAGCATGGGGAAGGAGCGTGACTCTTGGCAGGAAGCCTGGTCCTCACTGCAGTGTTCTGTCTTCTCTTCTCACTGTGGAAAGCCATAAATGCCCTTCCTTTGTGGCAGGTCAGAAAACAGCTCTGTAATACACTTGTTATGCCTCTTGGTTTTGCTGTCACTGGAGGGCCTTTCCAGGTCCGGATGCTGATGTATACAATATGTAAACGGTGCTCTTTGGCTTATTGGCTTTGGGGTGCATTTGTCTTTTAAGTATGATTTACAGTAAAATTGACCATTCTTCATGTATAGCTGAGTTTTACTTAACATGCAGACATGTGACCACAATAATCAAAATTTATTTTCATCACCTCTAAAGATTGCCCATTGAATTGCTGTTGTCCTTGTGTCAAAACCCATCTGTGGATATGTTTCTGGGCTCTTCTGGTGACACCAGATTTATGGGAAGTCTAGAAATCAACAGTGTAAGGCCTCTCAACTGGCTGCTGTACATCCCTTGGTGAATTAGCCTGTCAGTTTGTAGGAAAAGAGCATTTTCATGCTTTGATTGGGGTTATGTTAAATCGAAAGATGAGGCTGGTGAGGACCGACAGCTCGGCGGTCTTGACTCAGTCGTTTCTCCATTTTTTTTAGGTCTGTGATTCTTTATTGGTGCTTTATAATTTTTAGCATACAGATCCTGCACATTTTTATGTTCGACTTAGCAGATCTAACTGCTGTCGTTCTTTTAGTGCTATTGTAAATGGCCCTTTTTCTCCATTTCCAGTTGTTAGCACGTGGAAGTGCTTGTGATTTTTGTTTGTGGACTTCCATGAGACTGCTAAATGAAGCTCATGCATGTTAGTGCCAGTCACTTTTTTGTGGATTCTTATTTTATATGTAACAGTCACGTGGTCTGTGGAGTTGTGTTTCTCTCTAATCTGGAGCCTCATATTTCTTGTCTTTTTGTTGTTGTTGTTGTTAGATTGTATAGATTGATTTTTTTGTCTTTATGTTTAACCAGCCTTGCATTTCTGGGGAATCCCTACTTGGTTTGGTGGTTTGTCTTTTACCATATTGCTAGATTGGATTTGCCTAATTCATTGCCTGATTTTTGACTAATGCTGCTATTCGTGGGTGTCTTTGAAAAGTAGCAGAGTCTCTAGGTGGTATTTGGTGAAACCTGCCCTTAAAAGATAGCAAAGTTGTTATTTAATATTTTTATGCTAGCACATTTTTCTTTGGTGTTCTTGCTTGCGGGCCAGGTCTTGGGTCCAGAGAAAGGCAAGAGCTCTCCTTGTGGATCTGAGTCACGTAGAGCAGCACACTTCTCTGTGTTCCCCTGCAGGAGTCTGCCAAAGGCACTGGTGTCCACAAGTACAGTGTCCAGGGCCTTTCGAGGACCCTCATTTCTTGTTGCCACACAAGGGTGCTACATGAGGCCTCTGAGGGCTGGTCTCTACCTATAGCCTTGGTTGGCTTGTGTCCCTCTGAGCTTGAGCTTGGGGAGTGGCTGGTTTTGTGGGAGCTGATCTGTAGCACTCGTGGGAGGACAGGAAGCCTGGCCCAGATTTGTGCATGCTTGGTCTGAAAGCAGGTAGAAATGTGGGAGCATGGGGCAAGCCTCTTGGGCAGCTTGCTTCCTGCTCTGCTGGGCACACCCCATGCTCCCCAGGACGTGCACTCTACCAACACACCGTGCAGTGCGCTGCTCCCTTCTCCCCCTGTGCAGATCAAAAATGGCTTGGAGAAGTTCGGTCAGTGCTTGTCAGTGGCAGGACCAGGGTTCTAAGCCTGTGTGTTCATTACCACCAGCATCTGATTGTTGTGGAAGAGAAGTATGTGTGCAGTCTGTCTGGGTATTCATCTGTTTATTCAGTGAGGTGTGCTGGCCCCATTTTGGGGGTATTGGTGCAACATCAGGACACTGGTGACAATGTAAGGGGAGCCTGACCTTGCTGTCCTTCAGGCCCTCTTGTCTTCCTCACTGTGGTCCAGGCATGTGGTGTCAGGCTAACAGAGCGGGATTGGTTTCTGCAGCAAACCAAGAGTTTCACTGTTGACATCCGTGCCAAGCCAGAATACCACAAATTCCTCATCGGCAAGGGGGGCGGCAAAATTCGCAAGGTGCGTGACAGCACGGGAGCACGCGTCATCTTCCCCGCGGCTGAGGACAAGGACCAGGACCTAATCACCATCATTGGAAAGGAGGACGCCGTTCGAGAGGCACAGAAGGAGCTGGAGGCCTTGATCCAAAACCTGGTAGGCAGCGGGCCGTGGCAGCCGACTCTGCCGGGGCCGTGGTGGGGAGCGGGCCGTGGCAGCCGACTCTGCCGGGGCCGTGGTGGGGAGCGGGCCTCGGCAGCCGACTCTACTGGGGCCGTGGTGGGGAGTGGGCCTCGGCGGCGACTCTGCTGGGGCCGTGGTGGGGAGCGGGCCTCGGCGGCGACTCTGCTGGGGCCGTGGTGGGGTGGCTTATCTTCCATCTCTTCTTAACACTGCAGGATAATGTGGTGGAAGACTCCATGCTGGTGGACCCCAAGCACCACCGCCACTTTGTCATCCGGAGAGGCCAGGTCTTGCGGGAGATTGCTGAAGAGTATGGCGGGGTGATGGTCAGCTTCCCACGCTCTGGCACACAGAGCGACAAAGTCACCCTCAAGGGCGCCAAGGACTGTGTGGAGGCAGCCAAGAAACGCATTCAGGAGATCATTGAGGACCTGGTAGGCACTTGGGTGCTCGGGGACGGGTTCTCACCCCCCAGTGGCCACTCACCAAAGCCATGTATGGGTGTTCCCTCCACCCTGCAGGCAGGTGACTCCCTCATACGGCCCCGGAAGGCTTCAGAAGGGGCTTTCAGGTGCTTGCTCTTCTTTCCTCAGCCTGTCTGGCCTCCTTCCTGATAGTTGGTGAGAATTCTGCCTGTGAGAAGCACTTTAAAAAAAAAAAAAGAGAGAGAGAGAGGAGAAGAAGAAGAAGGGGGGGGGGAAGAAAGCAAGAGAAAGAAAGAAAATGCAGTCTGTAAGGGGTTAGAAAAAATGGAAATGCAGTCTGTGTAAGGGGCCAGCTCACTCCTCCCCTCTCTGAAGGAAAGAAAATCTATTTGAGGGCATCCACATGAATCCACAGGAAGTCACGAGAAGACGTGGTCTTTTTCTAAAGCAGTCTTCAGAGAGTGTCCCCTCCAGGTCACTCATCTGCCAGGGCCTTGGATGCCCTTTCTCTGATAATCAAGTCCGTTGCATCCTCATGGAGTCAGAGGCTACCCCAGGAGGTCCCACTCCCTTGGCTGAATTGGCCACCCCCCAGGGACGGCAGCTGGCCTTCTGGGACACATTTCAGAGGAGGCCCACCCCTTTAGACCTGTCCTGCTACCTTCCCTCCTCCCTGCGCCTGGAGCCCTGGACTCAGGAGAAGGGGAGCATCTGTGCCAAGTGGCTGTAGAGGACAGGGAGGAAGGTGGTGTGAAGAGTTCTGTAAAACTGGCCCTAAGGAATTTAATCTTTGTTGTTTTCTTTTTTCTTTGTGTACCTCCCTCCAGGAAGCTCAGGTGACACTAGAATGTGCTATACCCCAGAAATTCCATCGATCTGTCATGGGCCCCAAAGGTTCCAGAATCCAGCAGATTACTCGGGATTTCAGTGTTCAAATTAAATTCCCAGACAGAGAGGAGAACCCAGGTGGGTCCCCCATTAGCCCTGTTCTGCTTGTTAATAGCGGTGCCTCCCACGTGAGAGGCGGAGCTGTCGCACATACTGGTGAGGCTCTTTCCTGTCTCTGCTGGAAAACCATCTGTGTATTCTGGGGACTTCCAGAGGTTTAGGGTCACTCCCTGGCCTTTAAAAGATGGACTGTGTCAGTTATTGACAGAGTGACCAGGTGACCTTCACATGTCCTAGAAACACACAAGGTAGCGAGTCCCAAGGCAATGAGGAGCGTGCAGCCTCATCCTCGGGTGCCCCGAGTTCAGTCCCAGTGATTCTCATGATATCGTTTGGATCGCATGAGCCCGGTTGGAGAGCTTCCTCCTCCACACCTCCCTTCACTGTGGGGTGTCCCCTGTGAGGCAGGCAGCTGCTGCCTCTGGCTGGCCGGAGGGCACCATCCAAGTGGCCGGCAGTTCCTCTAGGAGGGCATTCAGCTCTCGGTACCCTGCTTGCCCCCAGCTCTGCTCATGCACCTGGTGGTGGGGAGGCGACCTGTGGGATGTGGGTGGGTTGCCGCTCTCTCACTTGCTCTGTATTTGTGAAACAAAAGGTCTGCTCTCCACTCTGTGTATCAGGCTTGGCTGAGCTGTTTGGGCGGCAGGTGGCCCTGCAGCCTGCTGAGTTCACATAGCGTCATCTCTCTGGGCATCCAGGAAGCACGTCACACACAGCCATTCAAGCCCCTTTGTTTTCCTGAGAACACAGGCTGTTTTGAGTAGGAAACTAATAAACTCATACTGCACTCCATCTAGGTTTTACACTTCAGTGGTTATTTAAAACTTTAATTTTGATAGAATTTCACAGAATAGTAGACACGTCCTGATAGTGTCACAGAACAGCGTAGACACGTCCTGATAGTGTCACAGAACAGCGTAGACACGTCCTGATAGAGTTTCACAGAACAGCGTAGACACGTCCTGATAGAGTTTCACAGAACAGCGTAGACACGTCCTGATCAAGTTTCACAGAATAGTGTAGACACATCCTGTGGCACCAGTTTCTTTTCTCAACTTCTCCCCTTTTACACACTTTTTTTTCTGAATGTAATTTTTAGACATGTCCCTTTATTCATGGTGGATGTTTTCTTAGAACAAGGACATTCTCTTGCATGCTTCTAGCACATTTATCGGAATCAGATCTAACATTATATAACAGTAGTATCTAACGTGTTATCAGTATTCAAATTTGCCAGTTTTTCTCCTCCAGAAATGCCTACTTCCCCCCACCCCGGGATCACCCTTGATTTTAGGCGGGCGTCTGTCTGGCCTCCTGCTCGTTTATTTACATCACACACCTCCTGGGTTCTGTCTTAGTGATAATTATTGTTGTGGTGTCTATTTTGGTACATATTGGTGTCCCAGCGTCATCTGTGGGAGCCCCTCCAGCTGCCTTCTGTGTCCTGTTCACACACCCTTCACTCCTGGGGCTCTCGCTTCCTGGCATAAGGAGCTGGCGCAGGTTTACCTTGGCCTTGTCCTTTGTGTCTCCCCTAGACCTCTCACCCGCTTCCCACTGCCTCTCCCGGGTGGGGCTGCATACTAGCCACCTTCCCTGATGAGCCCTGCCTCACAGTCAAGCCCCACATGTGCAGTGGGCCTGCTCTGTGTTCCTCCCATGAATTAACTCATCTGATCTCACTGAAGCCTCTGCTGTAGTTGCTGTTAGCTTCATTTTCAAGGTGAATAAGGGAGACACAGAGCTCACGGCCCGCCTGCAAAGCCTTCAGTGTCCCCCCAGGTCTGGGAGCCCCCTTTGAGGCTGCTGTGGGGACGGCCTATCTGCTCTCCCTGCCCAGACCAAGACCTTTTGAAGGACAGGAGTGGTCTCCCTTCCCTTTGACCACCCAGCACCCAGCAGGTGCCTCACAGACGTCTGCATCTGAATAAGGCATGGGGTCTCTTCCAGCGGCTGTGAGCTGTCCCCTTTCCCCTTTCTCTCTAGTTCACAGTGCAGAGCCGGTTGTCCAGGAGAATGGGGACGAAGCTGGGGAGGGGAGAGAGGCCAAAGATTCTGACCCTGGCTCTCCAAGGAGGTGTGACATCATTATCATCTCCGGCCGGAAAGAAAAGTGTGAGGCTGCCAAGGAAGCCCTGGAGGTATGTGTCTGTGTGCCCTCCTGCACTCCCGCCAAGGCCCAGTCAGCAGGCACCTGGGGAGAGGCGTGGCCTGGATGGGATGGACGGTTGCCCAGTGGCAGTGGCAGTGGAGCTACCCATCTTGCTCCTACCATGTGCGCACGGGCTGTCTGGCTGTGCTCCTCAGCTGGACACAGAGTTTGGGGAGGCCACTTCCCTTCACCAGGCCTCCGGGTTCTACAGCTGCTTTCTGGGACAGCTGGGGATCCGGCCTCTCAGGCCCGTGGTGGGTGCGGGGGCTGTGGAAGGGTCTCAGTTGCAGGGGGCTGAATGTGACCTCCAGTTGCAGTGTCTCCCCCCATGTGAGTGGGGATCCTCAGGCCTAGCTCACCTTGTGTGCAGTCAGTGTTGAGTGCCACCTGCACATTGGATGCTGCTCTCAGTGCTGCGCTGCCACAGCACAAAAATAGTTCTCACATTGCAGGGGAGAGACAAGCAGTCAACACAGATATATCCTGTGGCAAGTGATGGTAAATGCTGTGGCAAGAAAGAGTAGGTTCTGGAGGCGAAGGGCGGTGGGGGAGACAGGGCAGGGAAGGTGAGCAGCGGTCCGAGGGTCCCTTGTGACACCTCTTGGGTGTCGGTCAAAGTCATCCTGACCCCAAGGATGTGCCAGCAGTCACGGCCTCTCTTCCTACGTGGGCCTGAAGGGGCTGCTGTAATTCAGGAGGGCAGGCTTCAGTGAAGGGTCTGGAAGTTTTGTCTGTCAGCATTATCCTAATGCAAATCTTTTCCCATTCTTTTGAGTTCAAGGCCCTGGAGGCATGGCAGGTGGAGTACATTGCTGTTGTCAGAGGGCTGTTTGCTTTGTGTTTCATGGAGCCCCGTTGCTGAGCTTACAAGGTCACTCATCTCCCAGCTCCCATGGCCTAACCGTGACCATCCTCCATGCAGGCATTGGTCCCCGTCACCATCGAAGTAGAGGTGCCCTTTGACCTTCACCGTTACGTTATCGGGCAGAAAGGAAGTGGGATCCGCAAGATGATGGACGAGTTTGAGGTAGACCCCTTTCCCGGGAGGCCGTGTCACAGGAGCGGCCTGTCGCATCCTCTCCTGAGCGCCAGTGTCCGTCCTCAGCTTCTTGTTGACTCTGCCTCCTCCTGCTCGGATTGAGCACTGGCTTCCTTCATGGCGGGTGGGCTTCCCTCTCACTCCTGGGTCCCAGGGCCAATGGACTCCTCCTGTTCTCTGGGGTCCCAAACATCAAGTCAGCCCCTCTTCACGTAGGTGAACATACATGTCCCAGCACCTGAGCTGCAGTCTGACATCATCGCCATCACGGGCCTTGCTGCAAATCTGGACCGGGCCAAGGCTGGACTGCTGGAGCGTGTGAAGGAGCTACAGGCCGAGCAGGAGGACCGGGTGAGCAGGAGGTGGCCAGGGCGCTGCCTGGAGCCATGGTGCTCAGCTCTGGGCACATGTCAGAATCTAGGGGAGTTCTTCGAGATCCCAGAATCCCAGTTACATCTGGGTGGCTGGAGGTGAGACGCAGGCAGTGCCAGGATGCAGTCAGCATCCAGAGGTCTTGCTGTGGAACTAGCTAAGAGCATGGAACCTTTCTCTTTTTCATATAAAAGTGACAAAGTTGGACTTCTGTGTAAATTTGCAGTTCCTCTTACAACCAAATCAGAAGGTATCTCAGACCTACAGGAAAGGTCCGGGTTGCGAGAGACCCCCAGGCATGTGCCATGTAGTGAGGACGAGCGTCAGGGGACCCCCACTGACCTCTAGCACAGGGTGGTCAAAGGGCGAGTGACTTCCTGGTAAGCAGGGATGAAACCCCCCAGCCTCTGGCAGGGCTGATGTTGGAGGATTGTGTGAGTGGAGCAGCGCTGCAGACCGGAGCGGGGGTTCTGGAAACTTGGAGCCAGCTGTGCCCGGTGGGTGGTGGCTTGCTGAGGGGTTGGCTTTCCACTCCTCCCGTCAGCACATCGAGTCTGGTGAATGGGGTGGAGCTCGTGAACCTCACATGGTCTCAGTGTACCCCTGCGTGGACTCCGGGTTCTCTCCTGCAGCCCAATCATACCTGTAGCCTTTGGGTCTCGGTGTTCAGGGGCTGTGGCTGCCCCCTCTTCTTGGTCTGCCTCTGCCCCAGCCCTAAAAAGATCCAGAGCATTTCTGTGCATATCCATCAGACCCCTGTTTGACAAATGAGGAGGGTAGGGCCCCAAGCTCATCACACTGCCCACTCTGTCAGTTCCCGAGTACGATCCTCGCAAGTGGCCGCAAGCCCTCTTTTGAAGGATTTATAGACCTCCTTGTGGAGCAGCCAAGTTCCCTGGTTCTCGCCATTAGCAGACAGTGGAAGGTGGCAGGGGTCGGACCCGAGAAGCGGCAGACCATTCCGGACCATGGGTTACAGAACACGGCAGCATCTCTGCTGTCCTGTGACCGGGGTAGAAGGGGGCATGGGGTCACGGTGGGTCAGCTTAAGACCAAAAAGCTCTGTGTTCTTTGCCTCATTCTCGCTCCTTTCATTTGTAGGCTTTAAGGAGTTTTAAGCTGAGTGTCACTGTAGACCCCAAATACCATCCCAAGATTATTGGGAGAAAGGGGGCAGTGATTACCCAGATCCGGCTGGAGCATGACGTGAACATCCAGTTTCCTGATAAGGACGATGGGAACCAGGTGAGAGCCTCGGAGCGCGTTTGGGGCAGAAGCGCTTGTTGACCTTTGTCGTGACTTGGGAGCAGTAACCAGATGTGCCTAGATGGGGGTTCGAGGGCCAAGTTGAGAGTGGCGAGTCTCTGAGGACCTGATTCTGGCTTGAGGTTTGGGCTATGTCTTGGCACTTGCCGGATAGGTGCGGTCTCTGGCACCATGTATCATCTGGGGCCTGGGGCCTTTCTCCTGTGTCGCCTTCTGGAAAATGAGCAGGAGCTCCAGCTGGGTCCTTGATCAGTGGTGCCTCCAGGTGTAGCTCTGGGCCTCTCTGAGGCTCCCAAGGGCTCGGGGGCTCAGGTGGATGTTTCTCTGCAGCCCCATCTGTAAACACCGTTGTGCTTGCCGGATGGTCCTTAGTAAACTCTTCTTGTTACTTCCTCCAAATTGCAGTGCCACCCCCCTGCCACTGGCTCTCATGGCCTCCTGCCTTGCTCAGAACAAAATGAAAGGCAGCCTCATCCCCTCTCTGGGCTCTGCCACCTGGCATGCAGGGCAGCCCCACCCAACACCCCCATGTGTGTCTGGCTCCCTCTTGCACACACATGGCCTTCCCAGGCTTGGTCTTTCCTGGCATCCTGCCGGGGTGTCTGCTTCCTAGACGTGTCCAGCACAGCTTTGCCCACAGTGGGAGACTAGCAAGCCTTGGTGACCACGGTTGTGCTGGCAAAACAGTCAGCAGACCCTCTGGCAGCAAAGCCCCTCCCCGCCTCGCTCCCACTGCCTCTGGCAGCAAAGCCCCTCCCCGCCTGGCTCCCACTGCCTCTGGCGGCAAAGCCCCTCCCCGCCTCGCTCCCACTGCCTCTGGCGGCAAAGCCCCTCCCCGCCTCGCTCCCACTGCCTCTGGCGGCAAAGCCCCTCCCCGCCTCGCTCCCACTGCCTCTGGCGGCAAAGCCCCTCCCCGCCTCGCTCCCACTGCCTCTGGCGGCAAAGCCCCTCCACGCCTCGCTCCCACTGTGGGCATGCTGCCCAGGGTTTTCTGTGGCTTCACCTTCCCCTTCTTTCTCCCCAGCTTCTTGTTTCCTTTCGGATCTTTGAGTCACACACACCCCAGCCAGGCCAGGAGGGCCCACCTGCACCCTGCCTCCTCCGGCTCCCACATCCTTTTCTCTCTCCAAGTACATTTTTAAATTTCTCATCTTGATCTTGAGAGTTTAGCTCTTTTTTTTTTTTTTTTTTTTTTTTGAGAGTTTAGCTCTTTTTTTTTTTTTTTTTTTTTTTTTGAGAGAGAGAGTCTTGTTCTGTCGCCCGGCTGGAGTGTAGTGGCACAATCTCGGCTCACTGTAACCTCCACCTCCCAGGTTGAAGTGATTCTCGTGCTGCAACCTCCCAAGTAGCTGGGACTACAGCTGTGAGCCACCACTCCCAGCCCAGGAGTTCAACTCTTTTAAATCTCTCACCCTTATTGCCCTTTATTTCCCTCTACTATTCTATATAATTACCAATTTTAAGTCATTATAGGTGAGGTGCAGTGGCTCACACCGGTAATCCCAGCACTCTTGGAGGCTGAGGCAGGTGGATCACCTGAGGTCAGGAGTTCAAGGCCAACCTGACCAACATGGCGAAAGCGTGTCTCTCCTAAAAATACAAAAATTAGCCAGGGGCGGTGGCGTGCGCCTGTAATCCCAGCTACTTGGGAGGCTGAGACATAAGAATAGCTTGAACCCAGGAGGTGGAGGTTACAGTAAGCTGAGATCACGCCATTGTGCTCCAGCCTGGGCGACAGAGTGAGACTCCATCTTTTAAAACAAAAGTCATTATTTAGCAGTTAGACTATTCTATCTAATACACCATGAGCCAAGTGGGGTGGAGCCGTCATTTCTTCAGGGCGGCTTTTTCCTGGGAGCCGTGCTTCTGTTGGTGAGGTTCTGTGCCTGGCAGCACGCAGGTGGTGCCTGAGGCTGTCGGCTCTGCTGGGCCACGTGTGGGGGCTGCTGCCTCCCGCTCTGGCGTTGGCTTCACTCTGGACAGAACCTTCTTGGGCTGCTGCTCTGTTGTCTCTAGGTTGGGGGCTCTGTCCCCCGGGCTGGAGTGCGGTGGCGCGATCTCTGCTTACTGCAACCTCCGCCTCCCGGGTTCACGCCATTCTCCTGCCTCAGCCTCCCGTGTAGCTGGGACCACAGGCGCCGCCACCTCGCCCGGCTAGTTTTTTGTAGTTTTAGTAGAGACGGGGTTTCACCGTGTTAGCCAGGATGGTCTCCATCTCCTGACCTTGTGATCGGCCCGTCTCGGCCTCCCAGAGTGCTGGGATTACAGGCGTGAGCCACTGCTCCCGGCTTAGGTTGGATCTTTCTGCTCGTTTCCTTCCCAGGCATTTGTCCCTGTCCTCTAGTCCTGTTGTGTGGTGGTGCTTCCGTGTTGTAGACGTGTTGTTTTCACCGATTGTGGGTTACAGGTGTTTTGTTACCACATTTCCTCTATGCCCTGAACTGTCTGCTTGGTCTGCTTGTCTGCCATCCCAAGTCTGGTGGTGTCTCCTGTCCATTTGTATGGCCCACGGCAGGCCTGAGCCGGCGGGAGCTCTGAGGGAGGGAGGGCTCGCTGTAGAATGCCAGCCAGCCGGCCTCCAGCACAAAGATGCCTCCAGACTGTGACCCACGTGGGCAAAGCAGCAGGAAGCTGAGGGGCTGGGGCTTTGTCCTTTTTTTTTTTTTTTTTTGAGATGGAGTCTTGCTGTGTCGCCCAGGCTGGAGCGCAGTGGCGCAGTCTCGGTTCACTGCAAGCTCCGCCTCCCGGGTTTACGCCATTCTCCTGCCTCAGTCTCCCAAGTAGCTGGGACTACAGGCGCCACCACCTCGCCCGGCTAGTTTTTTGTATTTTTAGTAGAGACGGGGTTTCACCGTGTTAGTCAGGATGGTCTCGATCTCCTCACCTCCTGATCCGCCCACCTCGGCCTCCCACAGTGCTGGGATGACAGGCGTGAGCCGCCGCGCCCGGCCGGGGCTTTGTCTCTGCCCCGCTGTCCTTGAGTCCAGAGTTCTTGCCTGTCGGTGCCTCTCCTTTGTCTTTGAGGACAAATGTCCTTTTTCATCCTGTAATTCACTGTCTTTCGGGTGGAGTCTGGGAAGAATCGGGAGCTGAGTGGACATTGGTAACTCTGTTTTACATCAGCTGTTATGTTGCTTCCACCTTCTCTCTCCTGAGCTGTTTTCCTTAGCAGTGGGGGCTGGCTCTGGCCCCTGCCGGGAATCCCAGTAAGGCATCCCCTTTTCTGACTACTTTCTCCCTTTTTAGCCCCAGGACCAAATTACCATCACAGGGTACGAAAAGAACACAGAAGCTGCCAGGGACGCTATATTGAGAATTGTGGGTGAACTTGAGCAGATGGTTTCTGAGGACGTCCCGCTGGACCACCGTGTTCACGCCCGCATCATCGGTGCCCGCGGCAAAGCCATTCGCAAAATCATGGATGAATTCAAGGTGAGCCGGCTGGAAGCACAGTGGGTAAGCATCCCTCTCTCACCGGGGCGCCTGGCTGGCCAGAAGAAAGGGGAGGGCATGGCCTTCCCCTCGAGATGATGAGGCCACAACCCCAGGGCTGGCAGTGGAATCGTCCTCATAGACACCACAGGTCAGTGCAGGCGATGGCCTGTGTGAGGCATCCCCGTGACGGCTGCCTGGCGAGCTCCTCTGTGGGTGGGAATTTCATGCAAGAGCGTACAGTGCGTGCTGCGGCCCTCTGTCTGCTGTGAACAGGGTGCTCCCGAGACGCACCTAACTTGGTGTGGTGATGAGACTGACTAACTTCAGAACAACTCTGAAACCAGATTTTAAAATGTTTGCTAACTCAGAAAATGCTTCACTAGAAACAGACACATAATTTTAACGCTTTTCCTCGCTCACAGCCCCTCATCTGCCGTTGTACCTCCTTCCAGGTGGACATTCGCTTCCCACAGAGCGGAGCCCCAGACCCCAACTGTGTCACTGTGACGGGGCTCCCAGAGAACGTGGAGGAGGCCATCGACCACATCCTCAACCTGGAGGAGGAATACGTGAGTCTGCGTGGGCCTTAGAGCCCGGAGGCACCCTGGCACGTCCACGGGCCTGAGGCCCAGCCAGGAGCTTCAGGGGACAAGAGGGCACTTGTGTTTCCAGAGGCAGGCGAGGTGCAGGGGTGAGCAGGCGGGCGGGATGCTGGGGGTGCTGGGCAGACTGACCCTGTCTTCCTGTCCTCTGCCTGCAGCTGGCCGACGTGGTGGACAGCGAGGTGCTGCAGGTGTACATGAAACCCCCGGCACACGAGGAGGCCAAGGCACCTTCCAGAGGCTTTGTGGTACGGGACGCACCCTGGACCGCCAGCAGCAGTGAGAAGGTCAGACGCAGGCTTCTGCCCTCCTGGGTCCCAGGGCGGGTGGGCGGGCGGTGGGCGGGCTCAGTGTCCCGAGGGTGGCAACTGCATCGGAAGCTGCTTGCGAGTCGGGGAGCAACCCCTCCTGAAGCTGTGTCCTCTCTCTGCACAGGCTCCCGACATGAGCAGCTCTGAGGAATTTCCCAGCTTTGGGGCTCAGGTGGCTCCCAAGACCCTCCCTTGGGGCCCCAAACGATAATGATCAAAAAGCAGAAACCTCTCCAGCCTGCTGACCCGAACCCAACCACACAATGGTTTGTCTCAATCTGACCCAGCGGCTGGACCCTTCGTAAATTGTTGACGCTCTCCCCCCTTCCCGAGGTCTCACAGGGAGCCCAGTGCCTGGCTCTGCGTGCGGCTGCTCCTCCAGGCCTGGCTGTGCGCTGCCCACTCAGGACCTGCTCCACTGTTTAACACTAAACCAAGGTCATGAGCATTTGTGCTAAGATAACAGACTCCAGCTCCTGGTCCACCCGGCATGTCAGCCAGCACTCCGACCATCACCAGAGCTCCGCAGCTGTGGCTAGGATTCGACTTCCTGTGTCATGACCTCAGGAAATAAACGTCCTTGACTTTATAAAAGCCAAACGTTTGCCCTCTTCCTTTCCCACCTCCTGCCCATTTCCCGTGGTCCAGACCGTCCTGTTGGTGGAGTGCAGTCAGCCTCCTCCAGCTGCCGAAGCGCCTCAGCACAGGTGTCCGCAAGGAGGACCTGGCTCTGGACAGCCGGAGGGCGGGTTCCTGGAGCTGGGGGGTGACCTGAGAGGCAGAGGGTGACTTGGGTTCTCAAGCAGTCCCGATTTTACCTGCTGTGGGGTCTGAAAGCACCAAGGGTCCCTGCCCCTGCCTCCACTGCCAGACCCTCAGCCTGAGTCTGGTGAGTGAGCCTGGAGGCAAGGCAGTAGGCACCATCTGAGTCCCCTGTGGCCGTCAGAGTGTCTGCTGTGATTGAGACGTGCACAGGATGGGGGAGGTAGGGCCTTACGCTTATCCTCAGTGGGGCAGTTTGCCTTAGATGACAGCTAGGCTTTTCTTCACGCCACCTGCAGCCCCTGCCCTAGATGCCGTGTTCAGTTGCCTTCTTTCTACCTCAGCCGGCGTGGAGTGGTCTCTGCAGTTGGTGCCACCCCACACACTCATCTCTTGATTGAGACGTTTCTGGTGGTTGTGGGTTTCCCGTGGAGCTGGGGGTGGGCGCCATGTACCAAAGCTGGAGGCTGGCGCTTTCCCTCAGCACAGGTGGGTCAGCGGCCAGCAGGCCCATCCAGAGTGGGAGTGGGCACTCCCACCCCACCCACAGGCCGTCCAGATGTGCATGCCAGCCCCTAGGAGCAGGTCCCGGGTGATTGCCAGTTTTCACGGTCCAGGGCCAAGAGACGATGGCATGGGGCCTGGAGCATGAGGTAGAGCAGAATGCAGACCACACCACTGGATGCCAAGAGCCCCTGCTCTCCGAGGGAGGCATCTGTGTCTTGCTGTGAGGGCCGAGGACGGGGCCCAGTCTCTGGTTTTCTGGTCTTCCCATCCTTGTCTCTGTCCCCCACAGAGGTGACAGAGCTGCTGGCGAGTTGTCCCAGGTATTTGAGTTACGGAAAAGCTGACTGGCGCCCATCCATCTCCCAGCCCTTCCCTGGGGACAGTCGCTTCTGCCTTGACACCTCACCCCCAGTGTTTCTATCAGTTGAATAACTCAAGCTTGGTCATCTTCAGACTCCGGAATTCCTGAGTAGACCCAGAAGGGCTTAGCCCAAGTCTAGCTGCAGCTGCCTCGGCAAGTCCGCATTTGCTCAGGCAGCCCTAATCGGGCCTGTTCACAGGAATGGTCAATTGGATCGGAAGGAACATTTCCTCCAGCTTCACAGGTTAGGGTGACCGTGGCTTAGGAAACGGAAGGACAGCGAGGCACTTTTCCGCCTTTCCCGGGATCTGTCCCCTCCACCTCCACGGGGGAGGCCGCTGGGGGAGGGACTGCCACCTCTTCCCCATCTGCGTGAGTTCTGTCCTGTTCGCTGCTTGCTTCCAGCTCCCTCCAGTCTCCATCCCAGCGGGTTCCTCCTCTGTCTTTTCTATAATGTCCAAAAACATCCGGCCCCTACGCCCCCAAAGGTAAATTTTAATTCTCCCCGAATTTTGCACATCTCTGTATGTCACTCGATGTCTCAGACGCAAGCCCTTTCCTACACTGTTTTGGCTTTTCTCTCTTTTCCTTCGGGTGGTGGTTGTAAGGGTGATGAAATGACAGTCCCCAGCCTGCCTCCCTGAAGCCTCTGTGCTGTCGGGAGAGCCCTGGGCAGGGATGAGGCTGGGGTGAGGCGTGTGTGTGCTTTTTCTCTTGTCGGATGTCTTCCATATTATCTGTTTCCATAGCTACAATCCATCCCTTGGCCTTAACTTTGGAATTTGGAGATTATATGCAAACATGTGTAAAGGCTCATGAATATGGATGACACTGGAATTTTATAAATTCTAAAATAAAACCCGAAACCAGATGTAGTGTGCTGGGACTCATTTTGTCATGCTGCCGCCTATGTGTTCCCTTTCTCGTCACCCTGGAGTGGTGACTGGCATCCGTGGGTAGTTTGTCTTTGGTGTGATTTTCTCAGCAGTTCTCAACACTGTGTTCAACGGCCCCTTGAGAGCCACATTAAGGGAGACTCAGGTGTGGTCATGGCAAGAGGGTGGCTGCCTGTCCCTGTCCTCTGGCCACCAGCCAGTCAGCAGCTGCCCTGCAGCCCTCCTCGTTGAGGGTGGACAACTGTTCTTGTGGAGCAGCACCTGCCACTCCCTTTCAGGACTCTTGCCAGCCTCAGTGGCATTCCTGGCACCCTGGACCCAGCTCGTGAGTTATGAGGAGCTGAGTTAGGGGGTGGGGGGTGCAGGCGGAGGCCTGGGCTGGAGGAGGAGGGAGGGGTGTTGAGTGGGAGGAGCCACCCCAGGCTCCTGAGTGGCAGGAGATAACCGGGAAGAGTCAAGAGGGAACTGGTGTCCCTGCTGCTGACTGGGCTGGTCCCCACCTGGGAAGACGGGTGTGGCAGCTCCTCTTACAAGTCAAACATGTTGGCCGGGCACAGTGGCTCATGCCTGTAATCCCAGCACTGTGGGAGGCGGAGACGGAGGATCACGAGATCAGGAGATTGAGACCATCCTGGCTAACATGGTGAAATCCCGTCTCTACTAAAAATACAAAAAATTAGCCGGGCGTGGTGGGCACCTGTAGTCCCAGCTACTCGGGAGGCTGAGGCAGGAGAATGGTGTGAACCCAGGAGGTGGAGCTTGCAGTGAGCCGAGATCGCGCCGCTGCACTCCAGCCTGGGCCACAGAGTGAGACTCCGTCTCAAATTTTAAAAAAAAGCCAAACATGTTTACCCTGACCCAGCAGTTCTGTTGGACCCTAAATATGCAAAACCCCCAGCAGAGCACGCCCGCACCCACAGCAGGGCACGCCCGCACCCACGCCAAAGCGCGCCCGCAACCCACATCAGAGCACACCCGCACCCACATCAGGGCACGCCCGCACCCCCGGCAGGGCACGCCCGCACCCCACAGCAGAGCACACCCGCACCCACGGCAGAGCACCCGCACTCCACATCAGAGCGCGCCCGCACCCCCGGCAGAACACACCTGCAACCCCAGCAGAGCACAACTGAAAATGACCCAAACCAAACATGAAGCAGCCCAGCAGCGAGGAGGGGCTGCCACGGATGCTGGGCACAGATGGAGCTCGCGCAGTGTCCCACGGCAGACGCCAGACAGCGTCCCCAGTTCCATCCCTGCTTGGTGGCCAAGGTGGTGGCTACTCTGGATGGGAGAGGGTCACAGGCAGGGTAGGGCACACGTGGGCATCGGGGCCCTGGATGGGAGAGGGTCACGGGGTAGGGCGCACGTGGGCATCGGGGCCCTGGATGGGAGAGGGTCACCGCACGTGGGCATCGGGGCCCTGGATGGGAGAGGGTCACCGGGTAGGGCGCACGTGGGCATCGGGGCCCTGGATGGGAGAGGGTCACGGGGTAGGGCGCACGTGGGCATCGGGGCCCTGGATGGGAGAGGGTCACCGGGTAGGGCGCACGTGGGCATCGGGGCCGTGGATGGGAGAGGGTCACCGGGTAGGGCGCACGTGGGCATCGGGGCCCTGGATGGGAGAGGGTCAGGGGGTAGGGCGCACGTGGGCATCGGGGTCCTGGATGGGAGAGGGTCACCGGGTAGGGCGCATGTGGGCATCGGGGTCCTGGATGGGAGAGGGTCACAGGCAGGGTAGGGCGCATGTGGGCATCGGGTAATGTGAACTTGCCTCTGACCCACATGCTGGTTACAGGAGTTTGTTCACCTGGAAGCCTGTGTGACCTGAGCATTTTCTTACGTTTCAATAAATTCACCTTAAAACTTTGGAGTTTAAGACAGCAACAATAAAAAGCAACCAGCGGGAAGGAAGTACATGTGGGTTTGTAATCCGCACTCTGCTGAGAGCACACGTGGAATGGCTGAGCAGGGTCCCCGTCTGTGTAAAAGTTTCCGAGGTTCCCACCCCAGGTCCTGTGTGCTGTCCGCCATGCTCTGGCCGGTGGTGTCCAGCCTTGGAACCCCGTGAGCCCCTCATTCCTGCTGGAAGAGCCCTTACATGGAGGCAGAGCACAGTGCTCTTAAGAGGCAGGTGAATAAGTGGCAAATCCTAAAGAAATGCCACAAGCAAGCACGCTGCCCTCAGGCCAGGCATCGCTGCGGGTTAAACAGAACGCAGGTGAAGATGTTCAGAAGGAGGCCTTTTCTATGGAGTAAGTTTGGCAGTACTCATCAGAGCACATTAAAACCACATACTCTGGGCCAGGCGCGGTGGCTCACGCCTATAATCCCAGCACTTTGGGAGGCCGAGGCGGGCGCATCATGAGGTCAGGAGATGGAGACCATCCTGGCTAACACGGTGAAACCCCGTCTCTACTAAAAATACAAAAGTTAATCTAGCCGAGCGTGTTGGCGGGCGCCTGTAGTCCCAGCTACTCGGGAGGCTGAGGCAAGAGAATGGCGTGAACCCGGGAGGCAGAGCTTGCAGTGAGCCGAGATCGCGCCACTGCAATCCAGCCTGGGCGACACAGCAAGACTCCGTCTCAAAAAAAAAAAAAAAAAAAAATACATTTTTTTTTCCCCCAAGACACAGTCTCACTCTGTCGCCCAGGCTGGATTGCAGTGGCACGATCTCGGCTCACTGCAAGCTCTGCCTCCCGGGTTCACGCCATTCTCTTGCCTCAGCCTCCCGAGTAGCTGGGACTACAGGCGCCCGCCACCACACCCAGAATAACTTTTGTATTTTCAGTAAAGACAGGGTTTCACCATGTTGGACAAGCTAGTCCCGAACTCCGGACCTCGTAATCCTCCCGCCTCGGCCTCCTAAAGTGCTGGGATTACAGTTGTAAGCCACCGCGACCGGCCAAAAACCACATACTCTTTTTGACACTTAAGTGCCACTTGCAGAACTCCAAGGAAATCAATACAGATAAGCACAGACCCATTTGTCAGCAAGGGGACGGTTACACTGGGAATGCTGTGGGGCGGCAACAGCCAGGGGAAGATTCATGTGGCTCCTCAGCACAGGGCAAAACTGCACGTCACGCTGCGATCCAGGGTGGAAAACAATTACGTACAAACACACAAACTTCTAGGGGAAGAGCCACCAGATGTTACAGGTATCCATGTTTCCTCCTCTCATTCCAAAACCTCCCCCATTTGGGTGCTTGCTGTGTACTACGCCCCGAGGAACAGAGAGAAAAACAGCAAGCGGGGCCCTGGGCCAGGGGCCAGGAGCTGGGAGAGGGAGGGAAGTCGGGCAAGGATCAAAAGGACACGTTTAATTGCCGCAGAAGACAAAGAGACACTGTCAGAGGCTGCCTATGGTGGCTAGGGGGCAAGGGGAACCTGATTCAAGAAACAAGCATCCAGAGGACCCAGATAATTGGGAATGGAGGGAGGGGGTGAACGGACCCTTGCTGTGGCCAGGGACACAGAGGTGCAGGGTCTGAGAGCTGGGGCATGTGGATGATGTCCCTGCGCGGACAGGGCAGGAAGAGGCGGGTGGGTCCAGAGGACCCGAGGGAGATAGGTCCTGTGCTCTGCAACATTCGAAGGTCAGCAGGTGTAAGAGGAGCGGGTGATGCAGCCAGGGGTGGTGAGGACCACAAAGCCCACCGGCCTGATGAGAACTGTCGTGTCCAGGGGTCTGGGGAGGCCACCGAGGGACAGGGGCCTTGGGTGCAGGGGCCCCTTGGGCTTATGTCTGGGAACGGGAAACAAAGAGGGCCTTGTGAGCTGACAGTCCCTCCCTGTTGGGGATGGAGTGACAGGTGCTCTCAGGAGAGAAGCCGGCGCTGGGGGGAAGCAGGCAATGTGCCCAGAGATGAGGGCACGACAGCAGCCAGCGGTTCACACAGCCATTGCCTGAGGGAAGAGGAGAAGGACACGGTTCACAGGGCTCAGCAGGGGCCGCTCCCCTAAGGGCCACCAGATGTCCTTCCAGGCGTCACTGCCGCAGCTGGCTGGCTTTGGGAACCCTGAAGGGTGTCCAGTGGGGGCTGAGCTGGGGAGAGGGTTGGGGGCAGGGACAAGCCAGACTAGGGCCAGGAGCAGGCCATGGCCACAAGGCACAGTGGGCAGCTGGGCAGGGCCCTGTGACCTCAGGAAGTGCACGGGGCAGGGGTGCACGGGGCAGGAGTGCACGGGGCAGGGGCCTGACTGCTCCCAGACTTGCCTCTGAGCCCTGGTGCTGCTCATCCTTTGCTCCGTTTGTTCCAAAAAGAGCCTGTCGCCAAGAAAGGGCAGTAAGAGGAAGAGGGATGTGACTCTGTGTCCAGAGGTGCGGCAGCCACTGACAAGGACAGGGAGAGGTTTGGGGGGAGGGCGAAGACTGGGCTGTGCAGTTCACCTCATTCTCAGCCAGCGCCTGCTTAGCCAGGTAGTACTCCCGCTTCACTTTGATCTCCACAGACTCTGGGATGTCAGGCACCAGGAGGTCCAGGAGCCGGCCGATGGAGAAAACCACATGCTGGGAGCAGAGGAAGGTACTCACCCCACCCAAACGCCCAGAGTGGCCTTCACAGGCCCAGGCAGGCCAGGGCTCCAGCACCTGCTCCCAGCTGTGGGTGGAGCTAGAAAGCAGCTGTGCAAGAAAAGGAACCCCAGAAGGGGCAGAGGCCACCCCAGCTTTTGTGGCCCTGGAGCTCCTGTGGAGACACCACAACGCCCAGGCACGCATGTCCACACCACAACCCAGGTTTGAGGCCAGGCAGGGAAAACGCAGGTGCAGAGAAGAGCTCTGATTTGACCAAGATGACAAGATGACACAGCAGGAAGTGATCGCAGCGACCCCTCACCACGTGCTCGAATTAGGCAAAGCACAGGGTGGGGGCGTCATGCCATGGATGGGAGAACCAGCAGGTGCCCCGGCTACCTCAAACACAATGACGAAGGCCAGGCGGATGGCAAGAAGATTCCAGTAGGTCTGGGAATAATGCCCATCGTCATCCCGGAAAGCCCGATACCTGCAGCAGACACAGGACTCAGTAGGTGGAGCCAGGGCGGAGCGCTGGCTGGGCAGGGGCCTCTGGAATTAGCCTGTCTCCCCTTTTCCCGCCGTTTCCCTCTCAGATCCCATGTTCCAGTCCTGGCTCTTCATCGAGGGTGCCTGCAATGGGGGTTATCCCCAAACAGGACACTCTGACGATACCTGTGACCGGTGGGTTCCAGAGGCAAATGTGCTGGACACTGGGCTAAACTGGACCCCCTCCCAGTGGAAACGCTTCATTTTCTAGCAGATGTGACAGGCCAGTAAGTCTGTGCTTCTATGGATGACGTCAGTCTACTTATAGGGTGAAAACGCGCCGCCTGCTGGCCTCTGTGAGATCAGCACCTGCTCAGACTGTCCCTGCCCGCAGTGCCCTCCCTCCCTAGCATAAGCCACCCTCAGCTTCACTTGCTATTTCAAACTCTGACATCTTCCTGTGTCTCTGTCACATGGTCAAGATGTGACATTCCATTTTCTTTTCTTTTTTTTTTGAGACGGAGTCTCGCTCTGTCGCCCAGGCTGGAGTGCAGTGGTGCGATCTCGGCTCACTGCAAGCTCCGCCTCCTGGGTTCATGCCATTCTCCTGCCTCAGCCTCCCGAGTAGCTGGGACTACAGGCGCCCACCACCACCCCGGCTAATTTTTTGTATTTTTAGTAGAGACGGGGTTTCACCGTGTTAGCCAGGATGGTCTCGATCTCCTGACCTCGTGATCTGCCCGCCTCGGCCTCCCAAAGTGCTGGGATTACAGGCGTGAGCCACCGTGCCCGGCCCCATTTTCTAATATAAAGTTACATGTTGCACTCCATGAAAACCATTACCAGGGCCAACTTTGTAGGAAAAGAAAAAAAATAAAGAACCAAATATTGAAAGTTAAAAATAAAAATCCCTCAAATGAATGGGATGAACTTTTAAGTGGCTGGACACAGCAGAAGAGAGACTGGGGACGGGGAGACAGTGACGATGAGACCACCCTGCAGGCAACATAGCACAGTCGCCACCAGGGGAAGCGGGCCACAGCCCAGTGGGAGTCCCGATGACAGCGGACGAGCAGAGAAGCTTCGCTGGAAGGAGTAAGATGGAGACATTTCCAGAACTAAACAAAGACGTAACTCTTTCAGCTGGGCATAGCAGCTCACGCCTGTAATCCCAACACTCTATTTATTTATTTATTTATTTATTTATTTATTTATTTATTTATGAGATGGAGTCTTGCTCTGTTGCCCAGGCTGGAGTGCAGTGATCTCAGCTCACTGCAACCTCCGCCTCCTGGGTTCAAGTGATTCTCCTGCCTCAGCCTCCTGGACTACAGGCCCGTGCCACAAGGCACAGCCAATTTTTTGTAATTTTAATGGAGACGGGGTTTCACCATGTTAGCCAGGATGGTCTCAATCTGCCGGCCTCAGCCTCCCAAAGTTCTGGGATTACAGTCATAAGCCCTCACACCTGGCCATCCCAGTGCTTCAGAAGGCTGAGGCAGGTGGATCACTTGCGGTCAGGAGTTCGAAACTAGCCTGGCCAACATGGTGAAACCTCCGTCTCTACTAAAAATACAAAAGAGTAGCTGGGGGTCATGGCAGGCGCCTGTAATCCCAGCTACTCAGGAGGCTGAGGCAGGAGAATCGCTTGAACCCGGGAGGTGGAGGTCACAGTGAGTCGAGATCAGGCCACTGCACTCCAGCCTGGGCGACAAGAGTGAAACTCCCTCTCAAAAGAAAAAAAAAGAAATAATCCCTTCCCTAGGCCAAGTGCAGTGGCTCAACACTTTGGGAAGCCGAGGGGGCTGATCACCTAAGGTTCAGAGTTCAAGACCAGCCAATGTGGTGAAACCTTCACCTCTACTAAAAATACAAAAAAAAAAAAGTTATCTGGGTGTGGCAGTGCATGCCTGCAATCCCAGCTACTTAGGAGGCTGATGCACGAGAATCACTTGAACCGGGAAGCAGGAAGCGGAGGTTGCAGTGAGCCCAGATCATGCCACTGCACTCCAGCCTGGGCAACAGAGCGAGACTCCGTCTCAAAAAAAAAAAAAAAAAAAAAAATTGCCGGATGCGGTGGCTCACACAAGGTCAGGCGGATCACAAGATCAGGAGATCGAGACCAGCCTTGCTGATACGGTGACACCCATCTCTACTAAAAATACAAAAAATTAGCCGGGCGCGGTGGCGGGCGCCTGTAGTCCCAGCTACTCGGGAGGCTGAGGCAGGAGAATGGCATGAGCCCGGGAGGCAGAGCTTGCAGTGAGCCGAGATCGCCACTGCACTCCAGCCTGGGCGACACAGTGAGACGTTGTCTCAAAAAAAAAAAAAAAGAAAGAAAGAAAGAAAAAATATGACAGGCGCGGTGGCTCAGGCCTGTAATCCCAGCACATTGGGAGGCCGAGGTGGGCAGATCACCTGAAGTCAGGAGTTCGAGACCAGCTTTGTCAACATGGTGAACCCTCATCTCTACTAAATATGCAAATACGAGCCGGGCATGGTGGTGGATGACTGTAATCCCAGTTACTTGGGAGGATGAGGCAGGAGAATCGCTTGAACCCAGGAGGCGGAGCTTGCAGTGAGCCGAGATCGCACCACTGCATTCCAGCCTGGGCAGCAGAGCGAGACTCCGTCTCTATAAATAAATAAATAAATAAATAATTTCCCTTGATTTGTTTCAGCAGCAAGCATCTGTCAAGGTATTGCTTTCGCTTTTTTTTTTTTTTGAAACAGAGTCTCATTCTGTTGCCCAGGCTGGATGGTGATGTGCTCTCAGCTCACTGCAACCTCCGCCTGCTGAGTTGAAATGATCCTCCTGCTCCAGCCTCCAGAGCAGCTGCGATTACAGGCGTGAACCGCCACACCCAGGTGTTTTGTTTTGTTTTGTTTTGGGGATGGAGTCTCTCTCTATCGCCCAGGCTGCAATGCAGTGCAGTGCACTCGGCTCACTGCAAGCTCCGCCTCCCTGGTTCATGCTATTCTCCCACCTCAGCCTCCCGAGCAGCTGGGACTACAGGCACCCGCCACCACACCCAGCTAATTTTTGTATTTTTAGTATAGACGGGGTTTCACCATGCTAACCAGGATGGTCTCCATCTCCTGACCTCATGATCAACCCGCCTCAGCCTCCCAAAGTGCTGGGATTACAGGTGTGAGCCACCGCACCAGCCTTTTTTTGTATCCTTAACAGAGATGGAGTTTCACCATGTTGGTCAGGCTGGTCTCGAACTCCTGACCTCAAATGATCCGCCTGCTTCAGCCTCCCAAAGTGCTGGGATAACAGGCATGAGCCACCATGCCAGCCAAAATTCTTTAAGAGATAGTCTCTGTCTCTGTCACCCAGGCTGGAGTGCACTGGCATGATCACAGCTCACTGCAGCCCTGACCTCCCAGGCTCAAGCAATCCTCCTACCTCAGCCTCCCAAGTAGCTGGGATTACAGGTGCATGCCTCCAAGCCCAGCTAATTTTTTTTATTGAGGTCTCACCATGTTGCCCAGGCTGGTCTCAAACTCCTGGGCTCAAGCAGCCTTCCCAACTCAGCCACCTAAAGTGCTGGGATTACAAAAAACATTTTTCTTTTTTTTTTTTTTTTGTTGAGACAGAGTCTCGCACTCTGTTGCCCAGGCTGGAGTGCAGTGGCACAATCCTTAGCTCACTGCAACTTCGCCTCCTGGGTTCACGTCATTCTCCCTGCCTCAGCCTCCCGAGTAGCTGGACCACGGCGTTCGCCCACTATGCTCGGCCTAATTTTTTTGTATTTTTAGTAGAGACGGTGTTCACCTGTTTTAGCCAGGGTGGTCTTGATCTCCTGACCTCGTGATCCACCCGTCCTCCGGCCTCCCAAAAGTGCTAGGATTACAGGTGTGAGTCAGCCTCCCAAGTACGTGGGATTATAGGCATGTGCTATCACACCCAGATAGATTTGTGTGCGTGCGTGTAGGTTTTTTTTTTTTAGACCGAGTCTTGCGCTGTCCACCCAGGCTGGAGTGCATGGGGCGTGATTGTGGCTCACTGGCAAGCTCCGCCTCCTGGGTTCACACCATTCCTGCCTCAGCCCTCCTGAGTAGCTGGGACTACAGGCACCCCACCCACCACGCCCAGCTAATTTTTTGTATTTTTGTAGAGACGGGTTTCACCATGTTAGCCAGGATGGTCTCATCTCCTGACCTCGTGATCTGCCCGCCAGTGCCTCCCAAAGTGCTGGAATTACTGGCTTGAGCCACCGACCCGAGCCCCATGTGTGTAGTTTTAGTAGACAGATGAGGGTTTCACCATGTTGGCCAGGCTGGTCTCGAACTCCTGGCCTCATGTGATCCATCCGCCTAGGACTCCCAAAGGTGGCTGGGATTATAAGCTTAGGTACCATGCCAAGCCAGAAAAATTCTTAAATGCTATAAAATGTTTCCAATCAGAAAAGCCAAGTCACAAAAGAATAATATTTCGCGAAGAACAGGAGAGAAAATAACTCAACCTAATACTTTTATACCTGCTATTTGAAGGACAAAAAATGCATAAGAGATATTATCATACATATGCATGATACATATCTCTATGCAGACATAATGTGTATGCATTTTTGCATATGAAGAGCCCACCAATCCACATGCCTTTTCTTTTTTTTTTTTTTTTGAGACGGAGTCTCGCTCTGTCACCCAGGCTGGAGTGCAGTGGCCGGCATCTCAGCTCACTGCAAGCTCCGCCTCCGGGTTCACGCCATTCTCCTGCCTCAGCCTCCCCGAGTAGCTGGACTACAGGCGCCTGCCACCTCGCCCGGCTAAGTTTTTTTTGTATTTTTAGTAGAGACGGGGTTTCACTGTGTTAGCCAGGATGTCTCGATCTCCTGACCTCGTGATCCGCCCGTCTCCGGCCTCCAAAGTGGCTGGGTTACAGGCTTGAGCCCACCGCGGCCCGGCCCCACATGGCCTTTTCTGAAACAATTTTTTTTGTTTGTTTTGTTTTGAGACGGAGTCTTGCTCTCTCAGCCCAGGCTGGAGTGCAGTGGCAAGATCTCGGCTCACTGCCAAGGTTCACCCCATTCTCCTGTCTCAGCCTCCTGAATATTTGGGACTACAGGCACCCGCCACCAGCCGCGCCGCTAATTTTTTGTATTTTTTAGTGCGAGACGGCGTTTTACCATGTTAGCCAGGATGGTCTCGATTTCTCCTGACCTTTGTTGATCCGCCCACCTCAGCCTCCACAAGTGCTGGGATTACAGGCGTGAGCCACCGCGCCCAGCCTGAAAGAATTATTAAAGATATACCATCAGCAAAAAAAAAAAACCTCAGGGAAGGCAATACATAAGAAATTACTTAGGCCGGGGCCGCGGTGGCTCAAGCTGTAATCCCAGCACTTTGGGAGGGCCGAGACGGGCCGGATCACGAGGTCAGGAGATCGAGACCATCCTGGCTACACACGGTGAAACCCCGTCTCTACTAAAAAACAAAAAACTAGCCGGCGCGACCGGTGGCGGGCGCCTGTAGTCCCAGCTACTCCGAGGCTGAGGCAGGAGAATGGCGCAACCCGGGAGGCGGAGCTTGCAGTGAGCTGAGATCCGGGCCACTGCACTCCAGCCCGGGCTACAGAGCAAGACTCCGTCTCAAAAAAAAAAAAAAAGAAATTACTTTTAACCCAGAAGGTTAAATACATCCACAAATAAATTGATGAATAGATGACTGGAAAATGTTTTTTCATGTGTGTTTTTAACAGTAAAGCTAAAACTCCATGGAACAATAACAAGATGGAGAGACTGGTGCTCACTGGGTGGTAAGGCATGGTGAAGATCCTAGTCATACACAGAGAGAGGAAACAAAACTGAATTCACCTCAGGCTTCGTTAGGATCATATACTTAGAAATGTGTGTTGTGTGGCTGGGTGGCGGCTTGGTGCCTGTAATCCCAGTGCTTTTGAGAGGTCAGCACATTGCTTGAGGCCAGGAGTTTTGAGACTAGCTGGGTAACGTAACATAGAGAGACTCCCCCCACTTAAAAAAATTAAAAAAAAAAAAAGCCAGGCCTGGGGGCACATGCCTATAGTTCTGGCTACTCAGGAGGCTGAGATGGGAGGATTGCTTGAGGCCCAGGAATTCTAGGGTGCACTGAGCTATAATTGTGCACTGCATTCTAGCACGGGTACAGACCACAGTCTCTAAAAAAAGAAAAAGAAAAAAGAATGTATGCTAAACATATTGAGTA